GATAATTAAGATGATCATGATGACGATGTTGATGATGATGATGATGATGATGATGATGATGATGATGATGATGATGTTGATGATGACGATGCGGATGATGATGATGATGATGATGATGATGATGATGCTGATGATGATGATGATGATGATGATGATGATGATGTCGATGCTGATGCTAATGTGGATGATGAGGATGAGGATGACCACGATTACCATGATGCTGCTGCTGCTGTTGATGTGGTTGCCGACGTTGATGATGTTGCTAATGCTGCTGTTGGTGATGATGCTGCTGATTAAGATGATGATGCTGATGATGATGCTGATGAAGATGCAGATGCAGATGCTGATGCGGGTGCGGATGTTGATGCTGATGCTGTTCATGATGAAGTCGATGATGACGATAATGATGAGGAGAAGTAGCAGGATGAGGTGGACAATAAAGAGCACAATGAGGGGCATCCGAGCCGAGCGCGAGGGCGTGGGCGCCGCCGTCGCTGTGGCCGCCGTTGCATGTGGCGAAGCCGGCATTGTAGCCGTCCTCGTCGTCGTGTCGCCGCCGCCACCGTTGTCGTCGGCCTCGCCACCGTCGCCGCCGCGAGGCCGCCCGGACGGCGCCGCGCGCCGAGGGGCCCGCCGGCGGCGGCGCACGGCAGCCGCCGCAGCCGCAGCGCGCCGCGCCGCCCAGCGGCGGCGGCGCGCGGCAACCGCCGCAGCCGCAGCGCAGCGTCGGCGGGCCTCGAGTGCACATCTTCAAGGCAAGCCCGCTCGCGGCACGGCGGATCCCCCATGGCCGCTCGGCGGGCTGGGCCTGGGCCTCCTGCCGCGGGGTCGGTCGTTCGAACGGGGGCAGAGCGGTGTCATTCGCTTCCGAGGGTCCGCACGGACCTTCGTCTTTGATCATGCAGATCTTGTCTTTCTCTTTCCTTCCACGGGTTTCCAGGGGAGTCGGAACCCACCAGGTCGCCTGGTGGGTCTGGTCTGGTCTGCCTGGCAGGTGCTCAGAATTGGGCGAGGAGAGCTATGCACATGCACCGGTCCTGGCCGGTGGTGTGCCTCCCTGGCCGATCTCGGAGGGCGTGTGCGCCGATCCTGGGCCCAGGGTAAGCCTGGCCAGAATCGAAGCATGCGCAGTGCTCTCGTCATTCTAGCACAGGGTAGCACGGGGAACCTCGGTCGGTCGGTATACTATCGAGACATTCGAGTTTGGCGCTTGCCCTCTAAGTGAAGGGGAAGCAAGTCAGGGAAGAGGAGGACAGTGAGCAGCATGGCGGGGGGGAAGAGCAGCTGGCCCTCCTCCCTCCCTCCTTCCTCCTTCGACCTCATCTTCGCGTCTTCCTCCTTCCCTCCTTTCTCCTTCCTTCGTCCCTTCTCCCATATCCTTCCTTCTCGTTTTTTGCAGACTGGGCGCCTATGCAATGGGATCCCCAGGGGTCCCATGGGGTAGCCAGCCCATCTCTAGACGCAGTTCAAGTGTGCAATTACGAAAGAGCGCGTTCTGTGGTGGCGGCAGCGGGGACGACGATTTCCTTTTCTTGGTCAGCGCCGGCGCCTGCGGCGGCGGGCGGCGGCGGCGGGGAGCGTCGACGAGGACGACGTTGGTGGCGGTGGTGGGTTGTGGTGGTGCTGGCGGTGGTGGTGGTGGTGGTTGTGGTGGTGTGGTGGTGTGGTGGTTTGTTGTGGTGGTGGTGGTGGTTGTGGTGGTGGGTGGTGGTGGTGATGATGGTGGTGGTGGTGGTTGTTTGGTGGTGGTGTGGTGGTGGTTTTTCTGGTGGTGGTGGTGGTGGCGGTGGTGGGTTGTGGTGGTGGGGGTGGCTTGGTTGGGTGGTGGTGGTTTTTGTGGTGGTGGTGGGTTGTGGTGGTGGCGGTGGTTTGTGGAGGTGATGCTGGTGGTGGTGGTGGCGGTGGTGGTGGTGGTGGTGTGGTGGTTTGTGGTTGTGGTGGGGGTGGGTTGTGATGCTGGTAGTGGTGGTGTTTGTGGCGGTGGTGGTGGTGGTGTGGTAGATTGTGGCTGTGGTGGTAGTGGTCGTGGGTTTTTTGTGGTGGTGTTGGTGATGGTGAGTTGTGGTGGTGGTGGCTGTGGTGGTAGTGGGGGTTGTGTGGTGGGTTGTTGGTGGTGGGGGTGGGTTGAGGCGGTGGTGGTGGTAGCGGTGGAGGTGGTGGTAGTGGTGGTAATCGTCGCTGCGTCCCCGCCGTCGCCGGCGCCAGCGCTGGCGTTGCTGGCCGCCGCCAGCGCCGACGCTGGCGCCCGCGCCACGGGGGGGGTTTGAACCCCCCCCCCCCGGGCTGCCTCTGGTCATCGTCGTTGCGTCCCGGCCGTCGTTGCTGCTGGCGGCCGCCAGCGCCGGCGCCGGAGCCAGCGCCGAAGGGGGGCGGGGTCAACCCCCCCCCGTTGGGGAGGGGGGGGTTCGGAAGGGGGGGGGGTTTGGGGGGAGGGGCGTTCCGCTGGTTTTGATCGACGGCGCCGAGTGGTTCGAAACGCGCCGCCGAATGTTCCCAAGGCAAGAGCCCGTGAACCGCGCTCACTCGCACTTACCTATCGCATGTCCACTCATTTTTGTTCCCGTGCAAGCGTGTATTCGCGAAGCCCGAGCTGCAACCCAAGCCCCCCCCTGTCCCTCCTTCACCGCACGCGCAGGAGCGCGCGTCGGATCTCGCCGCTGCCGCGGATGATGTCAGGATTAAAAGGTGGCGGGGGATATTTGGAAGGCCGACCTGCTTACTTGGGGATGTACGGTGCTGCACGTTTTCTTGGAGGGACAGCTCATGAGGCCAGGAGGGAGGGAGGGAGGAGTAAGGGGGCGAATGGTCGGGGGCTGGAGCGAGGGAGGAAGGACAGGGTGATGAGGAGTAGGAGGAGGATTCGAAATACTTGTTGGATGAGGAAAAGGGAAGGGATGAGGGGGAGACATGGTAGTTGTTGATGGCGGGGCATCAAGAGGCGGTGGAGGGAGAAGAGAGGGGAGGAGGACGTGGATAATGAGGAGGGGCGTGGAATAGGAGAAGGACCTGGCACTTGACAGTACATGATGTTGCTAATAATGCTGCTGCTGATGATGATGATGATTATAATGGTGGTGATGGTGATGACGACGAGGATGACGATGATGATGTTGTTGCTGGTGGTGATGCTGATTCGGAAGAGGATGATGGATACGATGACGATGATCATGATAATTTTGATGATGCTGTCAATGGTGATGGTGATGACGATGATGATGGTGATGATGGTAACGGTTACGATCATGACGATGTTGATGATAATACGGATGATGCGGCTTATGTGTATGGTTATTATGTTGGTGATGCTGCTGAGGATGATGATGATGATGATGATGATGATGATGATGATGATGATGATGATGATGACGACGAGGACGCTGATGACGATGATGATGACTCGGCTGATGATGTTGCTGCTGGTGATGATGCTGATCACGATGATGATGGTCAGATGTTCGTGATGCTGATGTTGCTGGTGGTGGTGATGATGGTGACGCTTATAGCCCTGGTGATGTTCATGATGATGTTGTTGCTGATGATGATAATGATGCTGATGCTGACATTGATGATGCTGATGATGCTGCTGCTCATAAGTATGCTGATGCTGATGCTGATGCTGATGCTGATGCTGATTACGATGTTGATGCTGATGATGGTGGTGGTGATGCTGATGATGCTTCTGATGATGGTACTGATGACGATGATGATTATACTGCTGATGCTGACAATGATGAGGCTGATGTTGATGATGATGCTGATGCTGCTGATGATGATGATGCTGATGCTGATGGCCATGTTGATGATGTTGATGATGGTGGTGGATACTGATGATGGTGATGAAGGCGATGATGATGACGATGACGCTGATGATGACGAGGATGATATTGAGGGTGATGATGATGCTGAGGAGAATGACGATGCTGATGACGATGTTGCTGTTGATGATGATGGTGATGATGATGATGAGGATGCTGATGATGCTGATGATGGCGATGATGATGACGATGATGATGATAATGATGATGATGATGATGATGCTGATGCTGATGCAGATGTTGATGCTGATGCTGATGCTGATGCTGATGTGGAGGAAGAGGGGGAGGAGGAGAAGAGGAGGAGTTGGATGAGGAGGAGGGGGAGGAGAGGGCAGTGGAGAAGGGCAAGCATGATCAGTAGGAACATGTGTATTGGAATAATGTGAGATGAGGAGTACAAGGAGTACAGGATCGGAGGTCCCTGGAGGTTCACCCTGAGGCCCCTGGAGGCTTCCACAAGCCCCCAGAGGCAAGCACCAAAACATACACTCAAGAGCGTCAGTCTGTGATCCTCGAGGAGAATGGGCAGGATGGATGGGGAGGAGGAGGAGGAGGAGGAGGAGGAGGAGGAGGAGGAGGACAAGGACAAGGACAAGGACAAGGACAAGGACAAGGAGGACGGATCGGTGGAGAATGAAAGGGGATGCTGGAAGAGGATACAGGGGCCACATATCTCCGACGATCAGAAGACACCGCGTCGGAGCGTTTTCGACGTTTCGACCTCTAAGGGCTGCCTTTGGGCCCCGGGGCCGTCAACTAATGCCCCTGTGGTGACGAGCTAGCTCTGCAGAAGGGGTCCCCAGCTCGAGGGTTCCAGCTGAGGCTGGCGTCTTGAACATAATCTAGTCGACGGGGGTCCAGGAGGGACAGTTGCTTCGCACAGCCATTCTGGGTCTTTTGCTCCCGCGGAGAAGGGGAGTTGGGGTGGCCAGCAGCTCGCAAGGTCGCCTGCACCAGCCCCTTCAATTCTGGCCTGGACCCCCCCCTCCCTCCCCCACATCATCACCACAGGCAGGACCACCCCCAAGCGAGGAGGTCCACGATGCCTCCCTGGGCTGAAGGCCGGAGATGCCGCGAGCGGGGCGTTGACAGACGGCGCCACCACACCACCAGGTGGACCCTCCTTGTCTCCTCGCGAGGGCGGCTGGTGGTGATGATGCTAGTTTTCTTTACTCCAGTCCGGAGCGGACGGGACACGCCCTCCGCCAGGCCACCCCAGAGATGTGCATCAACAGGCCCCCGCGGCGCGAGAAGAAGTGGACCATAGGCCGCCTCGACCTGGGTCGGAGAATTGAGGCTGTGAGCAGGTAGGGGGTAGGGGGAGGGGGAGGGAGGGAAACGGAGGAGGAGGAGGAAGAGGAGGAGGAGGAGGAGGACCAGTGTAAACCCAAGACTCATCAACGATGTTTGAATAAACCCTTCAAACTCCCTCTCCATAGGCCCCTACAAGGATAAATTTCCACTGAGGGAAGTGCCCCGTTGGGAGACAACCGTTTGAAGATTCTGCAGCGTGCCAAAACACCATTCTCGGGACTTCAGCGCCATGAATGAGGGCCCTGAACCGTGACGAAACATAATTTTTGGGGCATCAGCACCGCAAATTAACGTGATTGTTGCGCCCCAACAATCTTGAAACGTTTCAGAACATTATCTCGGGTACGTTACCGATAATATTCCGCCACGCTCTTGCAATTTGTTGAAAGGAATGTGCGCGGCGCCAGGGCGAGAGCCACATTTTGAAAAGGAACCGCCCTCCGTCTGTGAAGCTCTTATAACTGTTCCAACGAAAGTGCGCGGCGCTCAGGCGAGAGCCACATATTGAAAACGACCCGCCCTCAATCCGTGAAGCTCTTGAAACTGATTGACAGGAATGTGCGCGGCGCTCAGGCGAGAGCCACATTTTGGAAGCGGCCCGCTCTCCACCTGTGAAGCCGTTGCAAATTCTGCAGCTTCAGGATCGTACATGGTAAGGAAGTCTCAGGCGAAACGCCTGGGCCGCCCTTCCGACTGGCCTCGTGGTGCGACGGGAAGGAGTTCTTCAAGGAAAAGGGATGGAGGGCAACAGGGATAGCATGGGGGAGGAAGGGGCAAGAGGGGGAGGACGGGGGAGGAGGAGGATGACACGCAACGAAGGAAGAAGGGGAGGAAGAGGAGGAGGAGGATGTACAACTGCGCCGACCATCTGCCGCAGCGTTTCCTCGGAAGGCTTCAGGAAGCAGTCCTGGCTTCTTGGCCCTACTGCGCATGCACCAGGCTGTACGCACAACGCTCGCCCAGCGGCTGATGAAGGTGCTGCCCAAATGTTGATCCAGGTTCCTCAGCATTCCCTTCTCTCAGTTCTAGCCGTGGCCGTGCTGCATGAGGCCCCCCTGTCCATCGGAAGTGCTCCCTCGATCATGTGCAGCCTGTTTCACATTGGGGCGTTCCAGGAAGGGTCTCGCCTTCGGCGCATCTCGCCTTCGGCGGAAGCGGATGCGTAACGTGGTTGCGTGTTCGCCGTCGGAAGCCCGGGGAAGGTCGGCGAAGCGTGGCGGAAGCACCCGCGTGACGTCGACATTTTCGGTTCAGGGTCTCACGGGGTGGGTTCTCGATGGGGGTGTCCCGGGGTCCCCAAAAGATGCGGTAATCACACCGTCGGGCGAGCGAGAGGCTATAGCCGGGGGCGTCCAAGAGGGGGGTGATGACTGCGGGGGGGGGGGTGTCATGGCGAGTGCCTATGGATATCTCCTCGAATAAGACGGCCGCCTCTTCTCCTTGCAGCACGTCCCCTGAGCCTCCCCTCGTCTGCGCACTTGCCTCTTGTTATGATTTGCGACCCCCTCTCCTGGACGCCCCGATAGAACTGATTCGGGTTTAGCGGACCGTTTGGGGACTTGGGTCGTTCTCCGAGGATGTCTCGAGCATTGGTGACGGACCGCGCGGTGAGTTCCTTGGGATTTCGAGGTCATTACACGATCTGTCGCCAGCATCCCAGAATTGCGCGTTGGGGCCCAAGGTGGCTCCAGCTTTTCCAGGGAGGACCACGGGCCTCCGGAGCATTTCTCACGACAGTATCACGAGCCCTGGATGGCCCCAGGGGCTCCAAAGTGGATCGAAAGAGCTGGGGACACGTCTGTTGAACGCGTGTTGAACGCAACTATCCAGCTTTCGCGCCGAAGAGACCACCGAGAACCGCTAGAACACCGCCGGAGATCGCCCAAGGCCGATGGGTAACAGGGGGCCGGGCAGGAGCAGTGCCTGGGGGGCGCTCCAGACAGGCCCTCGCCCCTGGCGCGCCTCGCCCTCGGCGGCGAGTGCCAGATGGCCAGCGGGAGCCGGCGGAGGCTAGGCGCCGGCGGTCGCCGGCGGAGCACGGTGCTTCGCTGGAGCCGTCGGTCGCAGCGCAGGCGGTCGCCGCACGATTCGCCGTCGCCAGCCTGTGGCCGCATGGTTTGGCGGGAGGCTGGTGGAAGGCGACGCGGGAGTGGAGGTGTGACGCCCGCTGTTTTGGAGGCTTCAGGATTGCAGGAGTCGGCCACGTATCTCCTCGCCTTGGTCTTGCCCTCGGCCGTCCAGTGCCAGTGCAGCAAGTGCGTCGATTGAGAGACCCGCCTGCCTGCGGGCAACCCTACCAGATTTTCTGACTCCCAGAGGCCTAGAGGCCCCGTGCGCTCACGGGCGTCTCGGGGCGTCCTCCGCATTTGACCCGATCATTGATAGCGGGATTTCTTCTCGCATGCCTTTGCTGAATCAGCGGCTGGGTCGCATGCGTCAGCCGTTGCAGTGGCAACTGCCAAGACGGTGGCGGCGGCATCGGCATTGGCGACCGAAGTGGAGCTTGCAGCACCAGCGCGGGATCGTAAAACATCAGCAGGGCCAGATAGCAGTATCAGTCCCAGACCTTCGGGGACGTCGAGGTCGGCTTCCGAAGCTCCCGACCCCTCGTGTTATTCCATCGCTTCGCTCATTCCGCTGGCCCATGTTGTGCATGATCTCTACTGCTTCGCCGTGGGCCCAGGCCCATTGTGGCGCCGCCGAGGAGGAAGAATCTGAGGATGGGGCAGGGGAGGGGAGGAGGAGGAGAGGATGAGAAGGAGAGGAGGAGGAGGAGGAGGAGGATGAAGATAAGTAGGAGGAGGAGGAGGAAGAGGAATGGGCGGAGGAGGAAGCCTCTCGTTGGCATCTTGTGTTGCTCTTGGGGCCAAACAGGGTCGTCGTCAAGATGCTTCTTTGGGAGGCCTCTTGGGGTCTTTTGAGAAGCCGTTCGGGGGCGCCTGGGAGGCATTTTTGAAGCCTTCTGGGGGGCCTCCTGGGGGCCTCCTGGAGCCTCTTGGGGGCCTCTTGGCGGCATCTTGGGGCCTCTTGGGGGCCTCTCGGGGCCTCCTGGGGCCCTCTTGGGGCGGAAGGCTCGAGGTTTCGGTTCGTGGTCCCCCTCTTGGGCCCCTCTTGGGGCCGTCTTGGGGCCGTCTTGGGCCGTCTTGGGCGCCTCTTGGGCCGTCTCGGGGCCCTCTTGGGCCCTCTTGGCCCGTCTTGGGGCGCTCTTGGGGGCCTCTTGGGCCGTCTTGGAGCATCGGATGGCCGAAAAGGGGACAAGGCCCAAATCCTTCCAAAACCATCGTAAAATGTATGATTTTGGCCTCTCGGGGCCCTCTTGTGAGGCCTCTTGGAGGCCACTTGGAGGCCTCTTGGGCCGTCTTGGGGTCATCATCGGCGTCTTGGAGCGCTCTTTGGGCGTCTCGGGGGCCCTTTGGGCAGTCTTGGGGGCCTCCTGGGGCACTCTTGGCGCGCTCTGGGGGGCCCGAGAAGCCACACCCAGGAGGAAAACCATCTCTGGGTAGCAGTGGTCGGGCTGCGGTCGGGGTACTTTTTGCCGGGGGACCCCCAGGGGCCGCCCCGCGCGCGCGAACTAGAAATATTGTTAACCAGTTTCCGGAGATCTTAGCACGCCTCTGGCCCATTGGGCCGGCGAGTTATCCCGAGTCGCTTTTCTGAACGCCTTGGGCCTGGATCTGGCCCTCCTGGACACAAACAGAGAAGACACGCACAATTCTGTTAGTCGCACGGGGTCTCTCACCTCAACATCGGCCCCCCGAGCGTGTCCCGAAGGGCGTTTTGACCAGGATTCCGACGCGGATCCGGCCGCGGCGACGCGGAAGGAGTTCTTCGTTCTCCTCCTCCTCCTCCTCCTCTTGTTTGTCGTCCTCTTTCTCCTCCTCTTTCTCCTCCCTGGCTGGTGTTCAGCATGGTGGAGCCCCCTTTCGCTTAGTGAAGAGTCTAGCAGTTTTCACACCACACTCTGTGAGGATGTTGCTATCCGAGGCGGAGGAGAAGGGGAAGGAGCAGGAGAAGGTACGAGGCGTGGGAGGAGTAGGTGGAGGAGGAGGACTAGGAGGAGGAGGAGGAGGAGGAGGAGGAGGAGGAGGAGGCAGTGGCGGTGGCATTGGCAGCGGCAGCATGCTGCCCACTCCCAGTGGGCCCGAGGCCCTGAGCAGCGGCGTGACAAGACGCAGGTCAAGGCTCGGTGAGGGGGTGGGGCTACTCCTCCCTCATATCACGAAAACGCAGCGATACATCGATACATGCCGTTGCTCCACCCTCGCTTCGGTCGCGATGAAGCAAGCGGGTTCTGAGTTTTTCACGGGCCCAGGACCGCCAAATATTCGATTCATGATACAATTTGTGGGGCATTTCGAAATTGTTTGGGATGTTTCGAGCCTCCAGAGTGGATGCCTCCTGACACCGTTGGATGCCTCCGATGACCTCCATCGCGATGTGACCAGTTCACTGTTATGCACCAGTTGAAGATCACCAGCCTGCGATGTGTGATGGCGTTGTCTTTGCAGGCTTCGACTTCAGGCTCCCCATTATTCCCCCCCTCTCCCCCCTCCTCCCTCCCCCCCACCTTATTCCTCCTATCTCGTCTTCCTCCTCCACCATCATCTGTCACGATGGAAACCTAACTCATCCTCGTCTGATCGCCAGAGTGTCTCTAGGGCAGGCAGGGCGTTTCGCCTGAGACTTGATCGCAAGTTGTGACTCGGCAGCTTGACACTTCAACAGCTGGAAGGGTAGAGGGCGCCCCGTTTTCAAAATGGGACTCTTGACTTAGCGCCGCGCGCATTCGTGCTACCAATCTACTGCTGTTACATGGATGGAAGACGTTCCTTTTCGAACTGGGTCTCTCTCATGAGTCATGAGGTTCCCTTACTTTCTGAAGCCCTGGCAGTTGAGCATATGTGGCAGCTGCGCGGATGAAGGGTGGATCCTTGTCAAAATGTAGGCCTTTTTGAGGGGCATCCTCGAAGCGGCCGTAGGTGTAAGTGTCTTTTTTTTCAACGGGCGTATATCGCTGGACACACCGTTGCACGGTACGATCATCTCTTTCCGCATTCCGTGTTTCCCGCTTGAAGGATGGCCCCTCATCCTTATCCTCTACTCTCTCTCTCTCTCTCTCTCTCTCCCTCTCCCTCATCCGTCTCCCGACCCTCCTTTTCTCATCCCCTCCTTCCTCCTTCCCCTCACCGTCGTCCTCTCTCTCTTCCTCGGGTTCCTCCTATTCATCCTCTTCTGCCCCCTTTTTTCCCCATGCTCTTTCTCCTCATCCGTTATGGTGGGCTTGCTCATTTCTCTATCTCCCATGTTCGAGATGGTCATATCCTATAGCTGTTCACAATAGGTGTTCCAGCATTGAAGGCTGAAGTTTTGCACGCACGTTGACGTCGTTTTTTTTCAGGAGGTGAGCTGCTTTGCACGTTCTCTGTCGAACTTGGGACGCTCTGGAGGATTATGGGAGGTCCTGGAGGGTTCCCCTCCTCTCTCCTGGGAGGAGGATGTGTCTGAGAACGATAGTTTCGCGTTGGTCTTTGGAGGCGTATGTAGAGATGGATGCGGCGGCGACGCCGGCGGCAGTGGCGGCGAAGGTGTGACACTGACGAGGATGAGGTAGTAGTTGCTGCTGCTGGCGATGACAATGGCGATCATGTCGATGGTGGTGGTGATGGTATCTACAAAACTGCGATGAGAACCGGTGAGCTGATAATGTTCATGATATTGGATGTTAGCGAAAGGGCATGGTGACTCTGATGACGATGAATACTACGCTGGTGACGACGATGATGCTGATACAGATTATGTGCAGAAAGAGGAGGATGAGGATGAGGATGAGCATGAGGATGATGCTAATGATGATGTTGGTGATGCTGTTGTCGATGATGATGGTGATGCTGACGATGGTGCTACTGATCATGATGATGATTCTTAGCACCATCATGCTGATCATGATGATGACGATGGTGGCAATACTGATGTCGACAACAATGTTTATGCTGTTCTTTGTGATGATGATTCGGGTTGACGACGACGATGCCGATGAAACCGATGATGATGACGATGATGGTGATGCCGACTATACCGATGACGATGACGATAACGATGCTGATGATGATGACGATGACGATGCTGCTGATGATGCTGGTGATGTTGATGATGCTGGTGAAGATGATGGTGATGATGGCGAGGAGGAGGAGGAGGAGGAGGATGGTCGGGTGAGTGGTAATATTAGTATCTACAAAAGGGTGGTGAAGAACGCAACACTTTTGGCACACTTTAGGGACCCTTTAGAGGCCCTTTGTTGCTTTTCATGTTGTTAAACATGATCGGCGCGGGGACTGCCAGCGGGTCATTGCTCAGTGGAATCTGCACGCGCGAAGCATCTGACATTATCCGGCTGATGGAGCAGCGTCAGACTCCGAGGGGGTGCGCGTCGACACCCGAGCCGCGTGCGCGCGGCCGACGTGCTTCGCCAACAAGTGGATGCACTTCTGGTTTTCTTTAATATAGTGAAATGCAGCAGTGTGCCCCTGTGGGGACGCCTGCGAGCCACTTTCTGACCCACCGCGGCAGTTTAGGGACTTGTTTGGGATACTTTCATGCATTGCTATTTTTGGCCGCCCGAAGGTGTTCCGCATCGAAATGTCTGAGCGGGAGGTTGCCGCGCGCGACGCTCGTGGGGCAATTGAATGTACGCTTTAGGAGCTGCACCGCAAACATGGGAGAGCCGCCGTCTGACATGGAAGGTTCTAGTTGAGCATGGTGCCGTATGTGAGCAGGGCTTTCGCCTCCTATTGCCTCTTTTGGGAAAGGAGTGTTCCCACCTCCATTTGCGCAGTCCCCCCCCGATGAACATCCACTTGAGATGGTAATGATGCTGAGGGTGATGATCATGATGATGTCGATGATGATGCTCGATTGTTTTGGTGCTGGTTATGGTGACGATTATTTCGGCGACGATGAGGGAGATAATGATGATGATGGTGATGATGATGATGATGATGATGGTGACAAAGCTGAAGGCCATGCTGATGACAGAGGTGTTCATGGTGGTGATGACGATTATGCGGATGCTGCTGTTGATGATGATAGTGGTGGCTCGGATGCGGGCGACGACGTCGACGTCGATGACGACGTTGAAGTTGTTGTTGAGGATGCCGACGTTGGTGTTGATTCTGCTGCTGCTGATGACGGAAATAGTGATGGTGACGACGACGACGATGATGATGATGAGGACGGCGGTGCTGTTGATTCTGATGAAGACTACAATGGTGGTGATGAGGATGACGATGTCGTCGATGATCTTGGCGGCGAAAGCGACGATGCTGCTGATGATGGCGGTGGTGATCATGATGCTGATGATTATGCTGATGATGGTGATGGCGATGGTGATGCTGATGATGCAAATGATGATGAGGATGAGCTGTCCGCAGCCATTCGCGAGGCAGTGCCAAGGTGGTGTGTGACACTGCTGCGTCAACGCCGCCCTCGGCCGCCTTCCCTTGCACCGCGCGGGGGGCCGCGGGCCAACGCTCGGCGCGCTTCCCACTTTCATATGGTCGGAATGCACCGTCGCACCATGCTTTGGACACCCAGAATGGGTACGGAAAAAATGGGTACAATGCCCAACAACAAATGCTGTCCCAAACCAACAGCGGCCGCTGTTGGGCAGGCGGCGTTCTGTCTCGAATGGACACAGGCCGCGGCGGCGTGGACAGCGCGTCCTGTTCAAAATGAACAAGATCCGCTGTTGAGCATTGTACCCATTCTTTCCGTGCCCATTTCGTTCGTGCAGACACGCGCGACGCGGAGCCGCGAGACCGTCAGTCCCTTGCTCGGATTAGGGCGACTGTGCCCCCGACATCGCTTCCCAGCCTTCCTTCTTGGCACAGGGCCGCCAGGCGCACCCACGGGGCCCCACGGACCCTGGGCCAGGTCGCCCTTGTAGAGTCCGTCCTTGTGCCGCAGGTCCTGGTCCCCGCAGTGTTGCCCCGCGCCCGCGTCATGCTGCTGGTCCCCGTGGCGCACACCGCGTCGTGAAGTTGTTTCCCGCTCGCCAGAATGCCGGTCCCTTTTGCGCCCGTCGCTCAGGACCTCGTCGTCCCGGATGTCGGCCCTGCGCTGGCCGCCCTTCGCGCCCGTGGAGTACGTACCTAGCCCCAACTCGTAGCCCTTCGCCCCTGGGCTCCGCGTCGCGCCAGCAATCGCAAGCCTTCTGCATGCAGGCCACCGTGCACGGCGGCGTGCTGGGTGTCAGTCAGGAGCGTCCCCCCGCCGAAGTCGCTGCCCGCCGCCGCGCCTGCCGTGCCCGGGAGTTGGTCGCTCGACCCGCCGCGTTTCAGGCCCCTGGGGTCCGCGAAGAGATGTGGCTGGAGGCTCCCGTCGCCCTCGGAAAGTGCCGCCGCCCTGCTTGGCCGCCGGGGGCCTGCTCCGCGGTGCCGTGCTCTGGGCGCGTGTGGTCCCCGTTCGCCGCTCGCGGGGCTCTTTCGCCCCCCAGCTGTCCGGGTCGCCCGCCTTGCCTGCCGCCGCGGGCCAGATCCTTCGCGCCGGCCTCCTTGGTGCCGTCGTGGCCGCAGCCTGCCGCGCGGCCGCCGCCGGGGCCCGAGACGAAGGGTGCGGACTGGGCAGGCGCAGCGTGCCTGATCTTTTCGAGCCAGGTCGAAACGCCCTTCCGAGGCGCCGTCTCACTCCGCTCAGCCCCTATCTGCGTGCGACAGTCTCCTGCGCGTCGGTCCTCGGTCGCGCGCTCGGCGGGCGCGCGCGCGAGCGGCTGGCGCCCGACGACGCGTCTCGCCGACGGTGCTCGCCTCCGCGCGCCCCACCGGAGACAGCTGAGCGCCGTGCTGCCCGCCGCCGCGTTCGGACTCGGGGCCCGCCTCGCCCCTGGGGCCATGTCATGGCGAGCGGCGGCCGAGACCCTCCCCTGCAGCGCCGCCGCTCGCGGGCCCGCCGCCGCCATCGCCAGCGCAGGGCAAGGCGAGCTTGAGACATGATCGCAATGGATGGTGGTGATGATTTCCAAGCGGGTGAGGAGGATGCCGATGACGAAGATGATGTGATGACGGTGGCGATGTTATGATGATGGTGGTGATGATGAGGAGGAGGAGGAGGAGGAGGAGGAGGAGGAGGAGGAGGAGGAGGAGGGCGAGACTCGAGACAACCAACGGGTCACGAGCCACACGGGCGCGGGCGACGAGGAGCCCCTGGACCCCAGGACCCCCCGAGCGGCACCGCCGACTGCCCCCACAGCGGTCAGCGCCAGTTTTTCAGAGCGAGCCCAGCACTCGCCAGACCCGCCACGACAGACTCGGTGGTGTCTGGACTTTTCGTTGCCGAGCCATGCGTTCATTCCAACGTTATGCGGCACAGTCCGTAGAAACAGCGCGAGGACAGGCTCACCGAGGGAGATAGGGATCGCCTTGCAGCGTGGGACGCGCGCTGAGGCATTTCGGGTGGAGCCCACGTTTGAGGCGGCCGAAGACAGTCGCGGCCCGCTCCGTCTGGGGCTGCCCCGGGCAGGTGGCCGCGAGCCCCACCATGCGGGCGCTGGCCGTTCAGGCGTCTTGGCAGCAGAACAGTCGCGGGCCCCAGCGCCAGGCCACGTGGCGAGGGCCCAGCGGTCGCGACCACCAAGGTGGCCTCGGCGGACGTGGCGGGACGTCTCCGACGGCTCGCCTCTGGCCAGCGGTCATCGCCTCCTCGCCCTCGCCTCCTCCATGCGCCGCGGCGCGGAGGGCTGCGATGGTGGCCACAATGGAGACCGCGAGCGCGGAGCCAGCAGCCACAGCTGGACGCGAGGCTGGCCAGCGCTGGCGCCCGTGCCTTCCTCGCAGATCCAGCCCTTCCCGCCGCCAGCTCTGACGGCGCTTCCGTGGGGCAGGCAGTGCCACCTGCGGCAGGCAGTTGGCGGCAGCAGGCCCTGCCTGGCATCGGGCGGCGCCGCTCTTGCCGCACCCACGTTGGCAGATTGTGGTCTGCGGAGCCTCCGACATGTCGCCGTCGTCCGCCGTTAGTTGCGCATGCCCCGGCTGCACCGCTGGATGATGATGACGATGATGATGATGATGATGATGATGATGATGTTGATGATGATGATGATGATGTTGATGATGATGATGCTGATGCTGATGCTGGTAATGATGATGATGATGATGATGATGATGATGATGATGCTGATGATGATGTTGATGATGATGATGCTGATGATGATGATGATGATAATGACCTTGATGGTGATAAGCATCGCCATGATACTTGCATTCATACTAGGAATGCTAAGAGTAATGATTGAATACAACAAACTTGTAATAGCATAGTTGTATTATTGTCAGTAACAGTTATAGGAATAATAACAACACTAATCACAGTGATTAAGAATGGTGATGGTGGTACCTCGATGATGACTGTAATGGTGGTGAATATGATTGTGGTGTTGGTGGTGATGATGGCGATGGTGTTGGTGATCATGGTGACCATGATGGACGGCGACGACGATGATGATACTGGTGGTGGTGGTGGTGATGGTGATGGTGGTAATGCTGTTGATGATGATGATGATGATTATGATGATGATGATAATGATGATGACGACGGATCTGTTGATTGCGATGTTGGTGGTGATGCAGTTGTTGGTGATGATGGCGATGATGAGTAAGATGGGGATGAGGGTGATGATGATGTTGTTGATGATGGTGATGCTGGTAATTATGTGTGATATTTTCCGGTGGTGACGATGATGCTGATAGTGAGGACGATGAGGATGATGATTGTGGTAGTGGTGGGTGGTTGCCGTGGCCATGATGGTGATGGTGCTGATGACGACGACGATGACGATGATGGTCAGGATAATGGCGGTGATGATGATGATGATGATGATGATGATGATGATGATGATGATGATGAGGGCGACAGTGATTGCGATGCTGGTGATGACGACGCTGCTAACGAGGATGGCGATGATGATTCGGATGAGGATGAGGGTGCGGATGACGATGACGGATTGTGATAGTGCTGGTGGTGACGGTGATGGTGATGTGAAGAGTGATGATGTTGATGTTGTTGCTTTTGCTGATGCTGTTGATGATGACGGTGCTGATGAGGATGATGAGGATGATGATGATGATGATGGTGATCATGATGATTTCGATGAGGATGATGACGACGATGATCATGCTGTTAGTGATTTTGATGATGATGATCGTGACGACGCCGACGACGGCAATGTTAATGCTGATGACTGTTGCTGATTATGTTTAAGTTGGGAATGGGGAGGAGGCGGTGGAGGAGCAGGAGGAAGTGGAGGACGAAGAACGGGGCGGACAAGGAAGACGAATATGGGCATGCACATGGTGACGATTATGATTTTTTATGGTGATGAGGGCGCGTATGCCGATCAAACGGATGCGGATGGTGCGGGTGACGACGATGACGAGGATGATGAGATTGCGCATGATACAGAGGACGGTGATAATGACGATGACGACGATAACGCTCATTATCATGCCTTGATGATGATGCTGATGATGATGATGCTGATGATGATGATGATGATGATAATGGTGATGATGATAATGGTGATGATGATAATGATGATGATGACGACGATGATGATGATGATGATGGTGGTGATGATGATGCTGCTGATGATGATGATGATGATGCTGGAGTTTATGCTGATGATGCCGATGGTGATTATGCTGCTGCTGCTGCCGCTGAGGAAGAGGAGAAGGAGGAGGAGGAGGAGGTTGATGAGGCGGACGACAAGGGTGATTGGGAGAAGGAGGAGGAAGAGGAAGAGGAGGAGAAGGAAGGAGGAGGAGGAGGAGGAGGAGGAGGAGGAGGAGGAGGAGGGGAGGAGGGGGAGGGGGAGGGGGAGAAGGAGGAGGAGGAGGAGGACAGGAGACAGGAGGAACTGGACGAGGAAGAAGAGGCGGAGGAGGACGAGGAGGAGGAGGAGGACAAGGAGGAGGGTGACACCAGCTGCAGTCCCCGCAGCCCCGTTCAGCATCGTCAGCAGCAGGGCCCGCGCGGGCCGCCCCCGCCGCGGCAGGGAAGCACTGCCGAGTCCGTGCAGCAGCAGCAGTCCGCGCGCGCGGCCGCGGCCGCGGCCGCTGCAGCCGCCGCGGCGCGCGGCGGTGGCCGACAGGGCGTCCCCGGGCGGCTGCCCGCCGAGCGCGGCCGGGAGCCGGGCCCGCCGCCGCTCCCTCCCTCCTGCTCCTCCTCCTACCGGGGCGCTTCTGAGAAAGGACCAAAGGGAACAAGTAAGTCTGGCAATGGGGTCAGCTCGCGGAGGGCCGGCAACGCCACGTAATGCTCTGACTGCGTTCATGGAATCTGACTCGATGCGAACGGGAATAGATCTTGGCAAAAAGAGAGCAAATTTATAATAGCCCACGTCACAGCCGCAAACTCGCTATTCGTACTCGTGAGTGGGCGTGTCGGCATAACCCTGCAAGTCTGAGCAACTCTTCCTGCAAACTTACGTACCTCCGTATGTAAAACCTTGCGCATCACTAGGCACGAGGATAATTGCCCAAGCCGCAACGTCAGCATCCGCATTCTTGACCGAGCCATCAGTACAAACGTTACTATGGGTCCATGTGCCAGGGCCATTCGGGCATAACTCTAGCGCTAAGCTAGCTTCTTTGTGGAGGCCTAGGGACTGACATGTATCACCGTCAGGTGGCGGGAACGTTTTTTCTCCAAGCAGTTGGGCAACCTGTGTACGATTGGGATATCTCAAGTCTAACCAGGGAAGGGGGTGGTCCCCATTGGGCTCACAAGTAGCCGCAGGCTTTTTGGTCACAAGGCCTGCCCGAGGCCCCAATCCCACATCGCTCGCACGCGAACTTCCGACTAGTGGCATGACAAGTGACAAGTCTGCGCAACAGAGAAAGGGATAGGAGTAGGAGACCTCAGCATGCAAAATAGAGTTGCGGAGCTGCGAGGCCAAAGTGAGAATGGAAAGGTGGGCAGGGTCACGCGCCAGCGCCTGCTCTCCAAAACGACCGAGGTTGGATAACTTACCAGGCAACATCCTACATGATGTACATGCGTTCGTGCCGCAGAAATCCTGCTCAATGTTGGCTTGAGGGGGGGTCCATTTGGAGATCGTGGCCCACATGGTGCATTCACCAATATGTATTAAGCAACGCTGTTTCTCTCTTCTGGTTCGCTGTTTCTCTTTGTCTGGTGCTAGCTTTCGCCACGATGCGCGGCTCTTCAGGCTTGAGCCTCGGTCGGCTCCGAATTCGCACCCTACCTACAACGAGGAACAACGAGGACGGCCAGGCCTGGTCTGGCAGAGCGCTTTTTGAAGGCAGATTAGCTACAAGGCACATTCTTTCTGGGTGACGAGATCTATACACATCCATTGTTCCGGGCCAGGCCCATCCTGTGCCCAGGAGCGGTGTATACGCCTCCTTGGCCAAGCCAGTGGCATTGGATATGAACAGATCTCGTTACCCTTTCTCTGGAGGGCCTCTGGGGACCTCTAGGGGCTTCCAGGAACTTCCAGAGGTCTCTGCAGACATCTCTTCCATGTCCTCCTCCTCCTCGAGATCCGGATGCTTGTTTTTCGTTTGGTCTCCCGGAGAGTTCCCATCGCCACGGCTGGACCCCCTCAGAGATTTTGGCCAGAACGCGCTCCAGGACAGACATCGCGAGCATATGTTCCCCAATCAGAGCTTGCCTCTGTAGGGGTCCTAGCGGATTCATATGGTTAGGTTCGGTTTGCCGGGTGCCCGGGGGTGAGGTTGGCCGCCGATTTTCGCTGCACGCCCGGGTCCTCGGGGGGTGCCCCGTGGTGCCCGGGTGCCCTGGTGCCCACGTGCCCGGGTGCCTTGGCGTGCCCAGGGGTGCCCAGGGGTGCCCGGGGGTGCCCTCTAGGCCTCTAGGCCTACAGCCCTATAGCCCAAGAGCCCAATAGCCCTATAGCTCTATAGCTCTATATAGCCCTATAGCCCTACAGCTCCCTAGCCCTATAGCTCTGATTGGGTTTTTCTCCGGTATCATGTATTTGTTTAGGGTGGTGGTGGTGGTGGTGGGGGGGGGGGGTTCTGGATGTTTGTGGGCTTTACTGGGCATCCAGCGGCAGCACACTCCTGGCTCGGACCCCTGGAGACCAGGACACAGATAAACCAGGACACGGGAAACCGAGGAAACGACACCCTCTCCTGCAAAGTCACACTTTGAAGCACCCGTGCATTTTTTGTTTGCTGCGCTGCAGGATTCGGGCTTGTGTCCTGGTTTAGGGGGGCGTTCCGCCGTCTGGGTGTCCAGGCTTAGCGTGTCCGGGTTCACGGGGCCCTGACTGGGGACCATTAGAGACCCCCCTGGGCTTCAGGCGACTCCACAATGACCCCAGGAAGAACCCTGACCACAATTTCGAAAACCGTGCATTCGATACCATGCTGAAGTATGTGTGGAAGCAGTGTGGACAACTCCTGCGAGTAACGACGCGCTGCGTTCTACCCAATGTGTGTTTCGCAAGCCTCGCAGCGCAATAATATGACTTGGACTCTGCTAGCTGCGATGCAGAAGTACATTCGACAGGACACAAGGCAGGAGCTGGAGCTGGAGCTGGCGCTTGGGCTGGAGCTGGGCTGGAGCTGGGCTGGAACTGGAGCCGAGCTGGGGCTAAACCTGTGCTAGGTCTGAAGCTGGAGCTGGAGCTCGAGCTTCGCAGGAGCTCGGTTGGGTCTGGAGCTGGGGCTGTGGCGGGAGCTGGAGCTGAATCTAGAGCTGGACTGGAGCTGCAAAAGGAGCTGGATCTGCGCTGAAGCTCGGCCTCGGCCTGGATCTGGAGCTGGAGCCGGAGGAGATGCGGCTGGGGCTGTTCGGGGCTCAAGAGACGGGGGTCGATGCAAGCCGGGGTAAGTCAGAGCGCCAGATCTGGCAGGATCCTGCAGAGCCAGGGGATCAATAACCTGGACTGGGGTGCAGGATCCTTGCAGGATCCAATCCTGCAGGCCTGACTGACCCGTGACCCGGGCGTGGATAGACCCCTGTCAGTAGGTTGCGGAGCTGTGCTGAAGCTGGGGACCTGGGGCTGGAGATGGAACTGGGGTTGGAGCTGGAGCGAAAGAGTAGCGAAGCTGGGGGTGGGGCTGGAGCTGGACCTGGAGCTGGACTTTGAGATCGGGCTGGAGCTGGGGCTTGGGCTGGAGCTGGAGTCGGGGCTGGAGATTTGGGGCCGGAGCCGGAGCTGGAGTTGGAACTGTAGCTGAGGCTGGTGCTGCAGCTGAAGCTGAGGCTGAAGCGAAGCAAGGTCTGGAGGGAAGCCAGAGTTGAAGGTGGAGCTGCGCTGGAGCGAGACGCTTGCGGTTGGGCCCTGGCCGCTCAGAGTCAGTCCGGGAGTGTAGCTTGGGCAGCATGAAGAGCACCAAATGCTGGAGGGTTGGTTCCAGATTCCAGACGCTTGAAATCGGCCCGCGAGTTGGGTTCTGGCAGCACGAAGAGCACCCAATGCTAGATGGATGGCTCCAGATCCCCATGACCGAGTCCAGAAGTGGAGTTCCAACAGCACGAAGAGCCGGCCGATTGTAAGGCTTGCATTGTTCCCTATCCCCCTCCCCAGTTATCTATTCCCTCCCTCCCCCGTTCCCTATCCCGCGTCCTCCCGCCCTCCTGAGATTTCTTCGCAACGGCGGATGGCGGAGCTAATTATGCCACGTGTCTTCCTTCCGCTCTCCCGCTGTCGTCCTCCTCCTCCTGAGTACCCAACATCTCTCCTGCGCCGCCTCACTCCCCCTCTCCCTCCTCCCTCTCCGTACCCCCCCCCGTATCCCTCATCACTCCTATTTCTTCCCTCCTCCTAATGATATGTGTCTCTCCCATCGTTCCCCTCCCACTTCCCTTTTCTCCTTCCCACTTGTTCTGTCCTCCTTCCTCGTACCTCCACCTCGTCATCCTACCTCCCAACTCTCCCCTCCTGCTCCGACTCTTGCGACTCGTACTCCTTCCTCTCGCCTCCTGACTCCTTCCTCCCTCTGCTTTCCTCGCCCTCCTCCTCCTACCTCCTTCCTCCTCCGTTTTCAGCTCTCATGTTCCTCCTGTTCCCCCTCCTTCCTCTTCCCTCCTGATACATTGCCGACATCCGAACTCCTTTTCTCCTTCTGGCTCCTTCTTTCTCCGTCTGCTCTCCCGCTTGCCTCTTTCCTCCTTCCCTCTTCATGATCAGCCTTGTCCTCTCGTCTCCTTCGCCTTCCTCGCTCTTTCTCCTCCTCGTTCCCCCTCTCCCCTCCTCTCTTCCCTCGTCCCTCCCCCCTCTGACCACGACGACCAGCTCTGCACAGGAGCTGCCCAAGGGCTGCGAGTGGCCCGGGGACCCGGTGGCGCGGCGCGTCGCGGAGGCGCTGTTCCGCGACATGGAGCGCTCCAGGAGACGGGCCACCATCGCCAGCCTTCGGCCCCGACGGTCGAGTGCCATCGGCAGCTACCAGAAGACATTTTGCGGCCGACGGCCTCGAGTGCCGAGGCGTCTGTGTCTGTGCCTGGCGATGCTCGGGCCCTCTCGGGAGGCCTGCTGGGGACCCTCGGCGGCCATCGGCGGCCTTCGGGGGCCTTTGGGGAATTTGGCGGCTTTCGGGTGTTTTGGGGGACCTTCGGTTGCCCTCGGTGGCTGCCGTCGTCGTCATCGTTGTCGTCGTCCTACCACCTTCTCCCCCTCCTGCGCGCACTGTGTGCTATGTGCGGCCCATGGTGCTGCTGGTATCGGGATAGCGCCTACTCTGATTGAGGCGCAGCAGGACTATCGCGAGGACACGGGGACCTCGTTCTGCGCACCATTTATCCTCTGACCCACTAGCCCGCCAGCCCACCAATCTACTTCCCATATCTACTAACCTGATAACAGTACATGGCTTCATCATCTGCTCATGAAGTGCATCTTTACACTGCAAAAGCTACGGGCTTGAACAACTGGCTACAACCATAGGCGCATGCACAACGACCGCCTGCACTGGCACGGTCAGCTTGCAGGGGCCCAGTGATGCTGCCAGCGTGCAACAAAACAGTTCTCGCGGAGGTGGGCATCTGTCTACACGATTTGAGCTGCGACAACAAGTGGATCAAAGTTGACTGCAGGCTTACATACGTTGCGGACGACAGTGCCTACTTCAAGATCGCATATGCCAAGTCCGCGCGGATGCACTACTTCAAGGATTTGTGCAAGAAGCGCATTGATATCTAAAAAGGTGCGCAGAGATAGCGGGGGAGGTTGCGATCGACGACAGGGCCGATGGACCCCGCAACGGGCAAGGAATACCGTTACCGTTGCGCGATGGAATTTGGATGGTGCCGCGCAATTACATGATTGTGGGTATACACCCCCGCGAAGCAGCGGCACGTTTCTACTATTACATGCCTTGGGACCCCATACGCAGGACTACATCACACTGGACGCCGCTACATCTACACCTGCCTTCGTCCACCTCAGGCAAGCTATCGTCGCCAAGGTCTATGGGCCAGAGTGCCCATGTCATGAACAAACCAGATCGGTATACACAGATGAAGGAGCATTACGTAAATTAACCACTAAACCCAGGAGCTACCAGATGTCCTGAAACTTGATTACAAACCTACGTTGGCGGGTGGATCGAAAGACGTTATCGAGCTATTGGACCAACACGGCACCCCGATTACGGAAGAACATCACAACGCCGCGGGTTCACGTTTGCCGATCCATCCGTGCAACAGGCGTGGGCCTACATTGGCCATGGAGGGGCCGCAGAAGCGCGTCCTACCGCACTGCGGACAAGTGTATTCCATGCACTTCGCTACATGCAATGTGCGAGGTCGCGAGTGGCACGGACGATGTTCGAGGCACGTTTTCCCAAGTTTCAATTCAACCCCCCTTTCGTCCTCATGAGCCGGAGGGGCTTCAGTTTGTGGGATGGTCTCGTGCCCCCCCCTCTTCCTTTGGAAGCGGAAATAGTGCCCCCTGGTGGTCCAGGGACCCCCGCGCCTCCCGCCCGTCGCGTGCCGCGGCGACGCGGCGGCGCGGACAAGGGAGCGCTTGGAAGCGCTGCGAGAGAGAGAGAGAGAGAAATAACAACATAGAGAGAGAGAGAGAGAGAAACATCACAACAACAACGACGACGACGACAACAACAACACCAACAAAACAAAACTCATGTTAAGACTGTTCGCTCTTATCTGCTCGCCCGTACTCACCACGTATATCCCAACCCCGATACCCGCCCTCTTCGTCTTCGACCGTACCCCCCTCTGGGGGGTACATCTTCCTGACCTGCCACGTGTATTGGGCGCAGCCCCTAAAGAGCAAGAGGAGTGAGAAAGGAAAGAGACTGAAAGAGAGAGGGAGAGAGCGACAGAAAGAGAGAAGGAGAGAGAAAGAGAGAGAGAGAGAGAGAAAGCGAGGAGGAAAGGAGTTGGGTAAGGGAGGGATGCAAGGGACGAGAGGGCGAGAGCAGAGCTGCGGACGAGAGATATTAGAAGGTGGGGGCTTAAGAGAGGATCCGGAAAACAAGCGGCAGACCTGGACGGTTGGGTCGGGCAACGGTCCCCAACGGGCGGGTCGGGCGGGCGGGGCTTGCACACCCGCGGGCGGACCCTAACGGGCGGGTCGGGCGTGCGGGACGTTGGCTACGCTGGGGCCGCGAAGGGCAATAATGGGGCCACAGAGGGCACAAGCGAGTTGGGGTCACGAAGGGCGCATATGGGGCCACAAAGGGCAGCGATGGGGGCCACTGAGGGCAGCGGGGGGGGGCACTCGGAGCTACACTGGGGCCACGAAGGGCAGCAATGGGGCCGCTGAGGGCACGAGCGACTGGAGGCCACGAAGGGCGTATCTATATATATATATATATATATATATATGATCGCGGGCTCAGGATCCTCGGCCCCCCCCCCCAGATGGGATGGGTCCCAGGGTCCTCGGGCCCCCCCCCCAGGTGGGATGGGGGGGAAGGAGGAGGAGGAGGAGGAGGAGGAGGAGGAGGAGGAGGACGACGACGACGACGGTAACGACGACGACGACGACGACGACGGCGACGACGGCGGCGGCGACGACGACGACGACAACGACGACGACGACGACGACGACGACGACGACGACGTCGACGACGACGTCGACACTGACAACAACGACGACGACAACAACGACGACGACGTCGACGGCACTACCAGCGGCGGCGGCGACGACGACGAGCACTGGAGCTGTCAACATGACGCCAATCCACGCCGCACCCACACCGCACCCACAGAGGGGGAGGGAGGGGGGGGAGGAGGACCATGGCGTCACCCCGCACACACCCACAGCAACACACCACACCCACACCACATCCACAGGGGGGGGGGGCCACCACGCCACGCCCACGCCCACAGGGGTGGGGACATTGCGCGGGGGGGGGGGGGGGGGCGATGGCATTAGCATTTGGGGGGGGGGCCCAAACCCTCGACCATATAATGGATCACAAAAGGCAGCAATGGGGCCACTGATGGCACGAGGGAGCGGGGGCCACGAAGAGCGTATACATGGGCCACCAAGGGCAGCAGCAAGGGGGCCACGAAGGGCTACGCTGGGGCCACGAAGGACAGCAACGGGGCCACTGAGGGCGCAAGCGACGGGGGTCCACGAAGGGCAGCGCCTGGGCCAATGAGGACAGCAGCGGGGCCACAATGGGCAGCGGAAGGGGATTATGCTGGGGCCGCGAAGGGCAGCAATGGGGCCACTGAGGGCACGAGCGACTGGGGGCCACGACGGGCGTATATATGGGCCACAGGGCTTACGCCAGGGCCACGAAGGTCAGCAATGGGGCCACTGAGGGCACGAGCGACTGGGGGCCACGAAGGGCGAATATATGGGCCACAAAGGGCAGCGATGGGGCCACTGAGGGCAGCGGGGGGGAGGCACACGGGGCCACACTGGGGCCACGAAGGGCAGCAATGGGCCACTGAGGGCACGCGCGACTGGGGGCCACGAAGGGTGTATTTTTATTGGTCACAAATGGCAGCGAAGGGGGCACTCAGGGCAGCGGCGGGGCCACGAAGGGCAGCAATGGGACCACTGAGGGCACGAACGACTGGGGGCCACGAAGGGCGTAGACATGGGCCACAAAGGGCCTACGCTGGGGCCACTGAGGGCAGCAGCGGGGCCGCGAAGGGCAGCGACTGGGCCACAAGGGGAGGGGCCACGAAGGGCAGCAATGAGGCACAAAGGGCGCGAGCGAGCGCATGGGGCACGATGGGCATGACCTTGACGGGCGGGCCGAGCGGGCGGATCGATCGTGAGTGCTGCGTGATTAGCCAGGAAGTTTCCAGCGAGAGACCGATTCCTATGTAAATTTGAGGAAGTCCCCAGCTAATGCGCGATTCCTGAATGGCAAGAGCGCGGTGCCTGAGTAAATTGCGAGGAAGTCTCAGGCGGGAGCGCGATTCCTGAGTACATTGAGGAAGTCTCAAGCGGGAGCGGGAGAACAGAGTAAATTTCGACGAAGTATTAAGCGGGAGCAGTTGTTGTTGTAAACCGGGGGCCATGGGCACAGTTTGAGGAGGAAGACTTTCTTTGAGCTGGGTGCGAGCGCCGGGAGGGGCACTTCAATTGAAAAATACAATGTACACCGGAGGGGGGGGATCAACAATAATTATTTTCAATAAAGAGAGTTCAAGAAGCACGCAACTCGAACACAAAACAAAATAAATGAGAGAAAGAGAAACAGAGAAATAAATGACGAGGAGGAGGAGGATGAGGAGGAGGACGAGGACGAGGAGGAGGAAGCGACAGGGTCTGCATGTTTTGGATCAATTTCTCCACCTCCTCAGCCTCCTCCAGTCCCTTGTCTTCCTCATGCACTGTCGTGGCCCAGCCCCTGCCTTCAATGCTCAATGGCCCCTGCCTGTCCCCATTCCGGATCCAGCTTTGCAGGGAACATCTTGGAATGAAAACCATTTTGGTTTCGGAAAGGGCTCGGTGCTGGACATTTCCTCGGGCGCTTTCTGCGCACCTCGACGCAGCTGGGCCAAAAAGACGGTTCATCCCCCGCTCGAGGCTCCCAGTGCTAAGATTTTGTTTGCGACAGTCGTCGCTCATCTGACGGGCCCTTCCCGCCGTTGCGCCCCCGAAAGGAGAGAGCCACTGGAGCGGAGGCAGAAGGCGTTTCGCGCCTCCTGCCTCAGCTGGCACCCGGACAAGAACCCGAAGCACCAGGCGGGCTGGTTTGCGACCCCCCCCCCTCCCTCTAGGCGTTGGACTCCTTCCTCGAGCCCTCGCGGCCCTATTCCTCTAGCCCTCGCGCTCCCCTTCCCTGTGTCACTTCCCCGGTGCTCTTTCCTTTTTGCCCCTGCCGTTGCTCTCCCGCTCCGCCGAGTCCCCCTTTTCTGGTTCCATTGTTCGATTCCATCCCACGCCTTTGCCTCTGCCCCTTCCCCCTCCTCCTTCCCCTTCACTTCCTCCTCCCTCCTTAGTTGGAGACGCAAATTCTACGACCAGAAGGTCGAAATCGTGCAACCCCTTCCGAGAATGGAGTTCAGATCATTTTCAAAATGGGGCTAGCGATGAGACCTCGGGGCTCCCTGCGAGGCTTGAAGTGCGCACGTGTCACCAATTTTGTGGGCTCTCTGGGAGGCCCAGCGGGCTGGAGGTTTACGCAGATTCAGCCGAGACCTCGCGGCTCCCTGTGGGGCTACGAAGTGCGCAATTGTCCCCATTGTCGTGGGCTCTTGAGAGGTCCAGCGGAGTGGAGGTATACGCGGATTCAGCCGAGACATCGCGGCTTTCTGGGGGGCTCTGAAGTGCGCAATTGTTGCCACCTTCGTTGGCTCCTCCGCGCACCGACCAGCTCACCGACTCCAGCGCCGACCAGCCGGGCGGCTCCAGCACCGAACAGCTCCCCGACTTCAGCGCCGACCAGCTCACCGACTCCCGCGCCGACCAGATCACCGGCTGCAACGCCGACCAGATGAGCGGCTCTCGCATCGTCCAGTTCACCGACTCCCGCACGGACCAGCTCACCGACCAGCTCATCGACTCCAGCGCCGACCAGCTCGCCGACGCCCGCGCCGACCAGCTTGCCGACTCCCGCACCGACGAGTTCACCGACTCCCGCGCCGACCAGCTCGCCGACTCCTGCACCGACCAGCTCAGGGGCCGATTCCCGCGCCGATCAGCTCACAGACTCCCACGCCGACTGGCCCGCAGACTCCCGCGCCGACCAGTTCACCGATTCCCGCATCGACCACCTCACGGACTCCCGCACCGACTGGCCCGCAGACTCCCGCGCCGACCAGTTCACCGATTCCCGCTTCGACCACTTCACCGACTCTTGCACTTTGAACGCGAGTAAGGTGTAGCTGCGGCATGGCCGTGAGACTGGCATTCTTCCTCTAGACGAAGCCTCCACGAACCGCCTTCAGGGCTATGTTTCATCTCACCTCATCCCATCTCATCTCATCTCATCACCTCCTCCTCCTTGTCCTCCTTGTCCTCCTCCTCATTCTCGTCCCCGTCCCTTTCCATCCTCCTCCATGTCCCCCCATCCTTGATTCCTCCTGGCCCAGAAGGGGGGGGGCAGCCATAGGAAGAAAGCGGGCGCCAGGCACTTGCCACGGATGTCTTCCAGTTCTTGCAGTTGCTTAAGACGTGGTACTTCGAGGGCTGATCTTCCTTCTGCATGTCCCCGTTGTCCTCTTCTTTCGAGGGGCTTAGGTTTCCTGCGTTCTCCCTCTCGTATATCCCCCCTCGCCCTCTCCCCCCGTTTCTCTTTCTCCGGGATTGTTCCTTTGTTGGACGCGGGAGGGGAGGCGGGGCAGGGAGGGAAGACGGGGAGAAGGAGGAGGGATGGAAGGGGAAGAAGGATTGATGGTAAGAGGGGTGAGGAGGAGGGGGATGAAGAGGATGAGAGAAGAAGATGATCATTTGGGTGTTGCGTTTGTTGTTGATGATGCGTATGACGATGATGACGGTGATCATGAGGAGTACGACGGCGGCAACGACGACGATTATGATGATGATATGGTTCATGATGATGATGGCGTAACTGATAAGCCTTTGTTGCTTATGAGAAAGAAGACGGCGACAACGATTATCAGGATGCTGACGATGCTGATGACGACGACGATGGATGAGGATGATGATGCTGATGATGCTGATGATGATGCTGATTATGATCATGGTGATGATGCCGATGCTGACGATGATGATGATGATGATGATGCTGATGATGCTGATGATGATGATGATGATGATGATGATGTTGATCAGGTCGACGTTTATGATACTGATTACGATGATGATGCTGCAGATGATGCTGATGCTGGTGATGGTGAGGATGGTAGTGATCATGATGATGTATATGAGGCGGATGACGACGACGATGGGTAAGCTGATGATGCTGATTATGTTGATGTCGATGATGGTGACGATGACGACGACGATGACGATAATGATGATGATCACGATTTTGTTGATGATGATGACGATGACGATGGTGATGACGATGACGATGATGATGCTGATGCTGATGATGATGATGGTGATGGTGATGGTGATGATCATAATGATGGTAGTGATGGTGTTGGTGATGGTCATGGTAATGGTGATGGTGGTGATGGTGATGGTGATGGTGATGATGAGGAGGATGAGCCGAGGAGGATGAGGCTGATGATGATGATGGTGATCGTGATGATGATGACGAGGATGTTGTGATAATGACAATGTTGAGGAGGATGATGATCATGGGAGTGTTGATGATGACGACGACGATGACGACGACGATGATGATGATGATGATGATGATGATGATGATAATGATAATGATGATGATGATGATGATGCTGACGATGATGATGATGATGATGATGATGATGATGATGATGATGATGCCGATTAGGGTGGTGATGCTGAGATCATGGTGACGGTGATGATAATGATGATGAGTCGTGATGATGCTGTTGATGTTGATGTTGATGTTGATGATGATGATGATGATGATGATGATGATGATGATGATGATGATGATGATAATGATGATGATGATGATGATGATGATGATGATGATGATGATGATGGTGATGATGATGATGATGATGCTGCTGCTGCTGCTGCTGATGATGATGATGATGATGATGATGATGTGGTGGTGGTAGAGGACGAGAAAGAGGAAGGAGGAGGAGGAGAGGAGGGGGAGGAGAAGGAGGAGGAGGAGGCAGGAGGGATGGAAGGAGGGAGGGAGCAGGAAGAGGAGAAGGAGGAGGAGGAGGAGGACGACGACGACGGCGAGCCCCCCCTTCCTTTCCTCGCCTTCCCGCACACCCCGTCCCCTCGCCCTCCAGCCCCCGACGGCCGCCGCCCCGCACGCCCGCGTGGTGTGCCTGCCCCCCCCCCGCTGCTTGGTTTTCACCCCGCGCGCCCCCGGCGGCCAGCCCGCCAATTCGCCAGCCGCGGGTCCCGAGGTGTTTTTTCTTTGCCTCGGCCGTTCCGCCTCCTCCTCCTCCTCGTCAGCCCTTCTCCTCCTCCTCCTCCTCCTCCTCCCCCTCCTCCTCATCTGCAGCCCTCCTCGTCATCCTCCTCATCATTTCTTGCGTCCTCCTCCCTGCCTGCGTCCTCCCTCTGCTTCGTCCTCCTCGTGCTTGCCTCTCTTCCTCGCCCCCCTCCAGCTTCTCCTTCGTTCCTTCTCCTTATAGATAACTTCTCCCTGTCGCACCCCGAGGCCAGTTTTTTGGCCGGGCTGGGCGTTTCGCCTGAGACCTTCACACCACTTATGACCCTGAAGCTTAAACGTTGACAACAGCTTCACAGATGGAGGGCGGGTGGTTTTCAAAATGTGGCTCTCGCATTAGCGCCGCGTACATTCGTTTTCAAAGTTTGCAAGAGCTTCACGGATTGAGGGCAGGTCGTTTTCAAAATGTGGTTCTCGCTTCAGCGCCGCGCACATTCGTTTTCAAAAGATGCAAGTGCTTCACGGATTGATGGCGGATGGTTTTCAAAATGTGGTTCCCGCTTCAGCGCCGCGCACATTCGTTTTCAACAGTTGCACGGGCTTCACGGATTGAGGGCGGGTGGTTTTCAAATTGTGGTTCTCGCTTCAGCGCCGTGCACATTCGTTTTCACAAGATGCAAGAGCTTCACGGATTGAGGGCGGGTGGTTTTCAAAATGTGGTTCAGCTCAACGCACATTCATTCTCACAAGATGCAAGAGTTTCACGGATTGAGGGCAGGTCGTTTTCAAATTGTGGTTCTCGCTTCAGCGCCGCGCACATTCGTTTTCACAAGATGCAAGGGTTTCACGGATTGACGGCGGGTGGTTTTCAAAATGTGGTTCAGTTCAACGCACATTCATTCTCACAATATGCAAAAGTTTCACTGATTGAGGGCGGGTGGTTTTCAAATTGTGGTTCTCGCTTCAGCGCCGTGCACATTCGTTTTCACATAATGCAAGAGCTTCACGGATTGAGGGCGGGTGGTTTTCAAAATGTGGTTCAGCGCAACGCACATTTGTTTTCAAAAGATGCAAGCGTTTCACGGATTGACGGCGAGTGGTTTTCAAAATGTGGTTCTCGCTTCAGCGCCGCGCACATTCGTTTTCAAAAGATGCAAGTGTTTCACGGATTGATGGCGGATGGTTTTCAAAATGTGGTTCAGCGCAACGCACATTCATTCTCACAAGATGCAAGAGCTTCACGTGTTGAGGGCGGGTGGTTTTCAACATGTGGTTCTCGCTTCAGCCCCGTGCACAGTCTTGTTTTAATCGTGCAAGAGTGTCACGGGTTCCCATCATCAACGTACCAGAAATCGCGTTTGGGAAGGATTCACGAGTTTGAGCGCGCAACAGTTACGATGATTTGCGGAGTTGAGGTCTCAGGAATGGCGTTCTGGCACGATTCAGGGTCAAGACGCAACAGTCAAGTTCATCCGTGGCGTTGGGATACAGAGAGTAATGTTTTGGCATGCGTCTGGGTCTTCAAACAGTTGTCTTCCAGCGAGGCAGGTCCTCCGGTGGAAATGAACCATTGTAGGGGCCTGTGAAGAGGGATTTTTTGTTGGGGGTTATTCCAACATCGTTTGCGACGCTTGGGTTTACACTGGTTCTCCTCCTCCTCCTCCTGCTCCTCCTCCTCCTCCTCCGCTCTCCTTTTGCCCTCCTCCCTCCCTCCCTCATCCCGCCTCCTTCCTCTTTCCTTCCTCGTCCTCCTCCCTCCTTCCTCCTTCCCTCCTCGCCCCCTTGCCTCGCGGGCGCCCCCGCTGTGCCATTGGCGCGCCTTTTCTTTGCCTTCCCGCCTCCCTCCTCCATTATCATCCTCCCTCTGTCCTCCTCCTCCGCCTCCTCCTCCTGCTCCTCCTCCTCTTTTTTCTTAGCCCTGCATTTGTCCTCATCCTCTTCCTAGGGCGTCTCTGGGTCAGGTTTGTCAAGTCATACAGATGTGTTCGGAGTCTGCTGCCCGTTGTCTGAAGCCATCGCACCTTCGACATTGTTTTATGTTGAATGGCGAAGGGCTTGACGTGTTGGCGGGCTTGTGGCTGTGTTGTGAAGCCACAGGGTCCTTGCCCACACAGTTGCTCTGGGTTTGGGTGCCCATGCTGTCTGAGACCACCACAGACCGCAGGCTGATCGCCCTTCACGGCGGAATGCATCGCATTCGACAGAGAGTTCGGGAGTCAACGTCTTTTTTGGAGGCGGCGGAGCTTGGTTGCTAGTAGGGGGCGAGTCGGTGGGGAATTTCTGTGGATTGCGCACGGACGAATGCTGAAGCAGATGTTGCCTCCAGCCGCCACCGCATCCTGACGCTTGCCGGTCGTCATGAATCTAATGAGACCATCACCCAAGTATCGATTCGCTACATGTTTCTCGTTTTCCAGGTACCCACTTTAGTTATGAAGCTTTCTTACACAGTATGCGGAGCTCCTCGAGCGTTGCGGCTTCTCCAACATCACCTAGACGGGGTTGCGCATGCAGAATGTGGGTGTCCCGTGGGTGATTGTTGTAACGACGCGATAGCTGCCTGCGACTGGTTTGTAGCACGACATCCAATATTGTCAAGTTTGCGTCGTACGTTGACGAATCAGGAACTCGGATGTCGAGTCATGATCGTGGGAATGTTGCGCATCTTGCGGTGAGCGCTGGCAAGTACTGTCAGCGCTAGCCAAATGATAAAGGCTAGCATCAATGACAACATTTCGTTTGTTGCAAGTGCGGTTGAACTGGCACATGTCATGGTGCGTGGTTTGGGGTGTGCGCCAGTAGTTGTCAAGTCTTCACTGACTTGACTTGGTGTTAATGGTGCGTCAGGTGCTAAGCGTTTTGATGCGCTTGTTCGTGCTACATCGCGTTCGTGTTTGCGGGGCATCGATGTCAAGGTCAAGCATATCAATCAGTTTCAAAGTTCGGGGCCCAAATAAAGACGCCAAGCCTGGCCTGGCCAAAGTTTGTCGCACTGGCGTTGCTCCTGCGTCTTCGTACGGTTATGGGGCTTGGTTTTCTCTGATGCGGAGCTCGTCACTGCGCTCAGGACTCAGGCTATATGGTTACCTCAAATTCATGACGGTACCAACGCATCGGCCAAGTTAATTTCTGTATGGTGGGCCAGACGCTCGAATTGCAGTCTATCCAGCACTGCACTGGTTCTGCATGCTTTGGAGTTCCCAGGAGAACCCTTCCCGAGCCTTCGCCCCTTTCCCCACCCTCATCCCACTGTGGGATCAGGCGCGGGTTAGTGAGGCCGGCAATCGGAGGTCTAGCAGGGGGCCTGTTGCGAGAGCCGTTTTGTTGGCCAGACGTGTTGGTTGGAAGGTTGTCTCGGGCAGCCTATGGGTTGACCAATGGGGCAACACTGTAGATATCAGCAAAGCCCCCCCTTCGCCTCCCCTTCGATATTTTGCACGAAGGTCTTCAGAGGGAGGCGAATTTGATCTAGCTGAGAGTCTCTGTCGTCCAACAGGTGCGCGTGCCACCTTTGATATTGTGCGTGGGTGTACGTGCACGCATGGCAAGCAGCAAACCAGTCAGCAGCAGTTCCTTCTTCTTTCGTGCGCTTGCGGCGCCTTGTGGGCTGAAGCCCGTCCTTGCGACGCGGGGTACCTTACAGAAGAAATTTACCAGTGGTGTAGGGCACGCGGCATTTTCATTATTGTTTATACAGTTGCACGCGTGCTGCAGCTGTAGAGGTGCGCGCGAATCTAGATCTACCACCTGAGAGTTGCACGAAAAGGACATGCACTCAATTTCCTGTGTTCACTCGGGAGTTGTCTGCTTTTCGTGGTGGTGATGCGTCCCTCCTTCCACTAGCGCACATTGTGATATACTCGACGGTGCAGGAGCCGACTTTACAAAATGTAGTCTGTGGAACCTACCACCCTCACAAGGGATGCCACTGACGTCGAGATGGCGGCCAGCGGGAGCTGAATCTAGCAGGCCATCCGCTACCTCAGTTGAGCCTCTTGGGCGATCGCCTTGCTCGAGCAAGGCTCTGGTGCTCCCTTAGCTATCTTGCGCCGTATTGTTCCAGATGGTTTTCCCCACTCCCCCACCATGGCTGGAAGCGCATCGGCCGCTCAGCGCGGTCAAGTCGCAAACCGACCAGCGCCCCTGGCTCCCAACAGCAGGGATGTAAGTTGTCAGACCCAACGTCGGTTGTGAAAGCAAATGTATGGGACCCATAAGCTTGCCTGTGCCAGGTGAGTCGCTCAGGACTTGGCGGGTAGCGAGATTTGCCTTCCGTTTCATGTAAAAAACCCACAGGGACCCCGATGCCCTGGAGGGTTTGGAAGGTGATGTTCGGCATTCTGTGCTTGCCCAAAGTGATGTCGACGTGCATGCTACAAGGGCCCTTGACGACCATGAACTGTAACAGGGTCGTACTAGTACGTTCGTGCAGCTGGTGTACAGTGTGCTCCCACTGTACAAGAATGAAGTCAGGTGAAACCGGGCCCCGTTCTTTTTCCAAAGCCTCAGGCGGCAGAGTCGCGGCTGGCATGTGTGGCGACGTTCGACGCTGGGTATACAGTGCCGTCTGTTTCTGGCGATTTGTGATCGGCCCGACAGGCCCATGGTTCCGATGCCCGCCTTTTGGTTTTCAGAAGTTGCTGCGTCAACCCCGTGGTCATCTTCCGGTTGCCGTGTCGGGCTCGGCTTTTGGGTCTCCGAAATATGGTGCCAGCGGGAATTTGTGTCGCGAACCGCAGCTTATGTTTTTTAAGGTGTGGGGGACAGGCCCATGAGATAAACGTGAGTCTTGCTGAGGTCTGCATGCAACCAGCGCGTAAGGGACAAGATGTCCTGAGTAGGTTTCGACTTGGGTGTGGGCCCAACATGCGTGTCAGAACTCGTCTTGGTAAGGCGTGTCTTTTGGAACCGCTCGGTGTCGAGTTGGATTTTCACAAGCTCGCAGTGACTGTGAAGTCTATTCCGCGGGCTTTCTCGGATGCCCCCGCCCATGAGAAGCGGATGGCGGCCCTGGCTGCCAGAATTGAGGCTAAATGAGAGGCCCGCGTGTCAGTGGCGATTTAGTTCGGGTCGACCCCCCACGTTGTGGTGTTGCCACCTCCAGACTCTTCCAAGGTGCAGCCCACCATCCATCCTCATCCTCCCTGCATCCTGTTGATCTTATGCTCTTTCCTCCCTCCCTCCTCCTTTTCCCCATTGCTCCTCCCTCGTTTTTCATATGCCCTCTTTCATCCCCCCTTCCTCCCTCCTCCCTCCTCTACATGTTTCCTGTCGCCTCCTGTAGTCACCAGGGGTATCCACAGGCTTCCAGATGCCCCCGAGAACATCCGCAAGCCTCCAGAGGCCCAAACGGACCAGAAGAACCGTGAAGAACCTTTGATCCTCAGCCCTCCTCCCTGCCTCTTCGTCCCTGCCTCCCGCGCCATCCGCCCCGAGTGTGCCCGATGCGATGCATCAGCAGGCGCCTCCCAGCCTTGCCAGCCTTGAGCAAAAAGCGTCGGGCCTCCCGGATCGATCCTCCTGTCGTCAGGGGGAGAGTAGGAGCATGATGGTTGAGTTGTTGTTGCTGAGTTGTTTCATTATTTTTGGATGTGTTTGTTTCTGTGGGGTCGGCAGGAGGCTCCCAGGGACCTCAGGAAACGTCTGGGTAGGAAGGCGGATTTTGGAGAAAAAGGGGAAGGGCAATGGGCATGTGACTTTGATTTGCGACCAGGTCGATGCCAGGGTCAAGGCATACGCAAGGAACCACAAGGCATCATGTACCCTGCAGGCTTGCTTACATCAGCGCGTGTCAAATACGAGGAAACGGACATCGGCCCAATTTGACATTTTATCGAGCCCATATGTTTTCCACGGAGGCCCACGGCCATCCTCCCTATCACAAGATTTTGTGCAGAAGCCTCCGACATCGTCCATATTTTGCGATCGCAACAACAGGCGCCCGCACACTCGAATAAGCGACTCGTACTCCGTCACCGGGATATCGAACGAAAACAGAGTGTCAGGTTCAATTCCCCCCTGTCTGGCGCAGGGGCGAGTCCACGCTTGTCAGCCATTCGTCCTTGCGCAATTGACCACCAGCGTCGCATGTGATATCGACCAGCAAATCGGCGCGCTGACCACATCACCTCGGTTGACTGGGTCCTTACTTCTCCTCTCTGCCGATTTCTCCGCCTCCTTCCAAGACCTCCGACGTCGTGACTTTCTTCACGGCGCCAGGCGGCGCCCGCCGGGGCCGCTGCCGCCATGGCCGTGGCTGCGGAGGAACCCGCGGCGGCCGGGCGGTCCGACGCGGCGCGGGACGCGGAGTTCGAGGAGCCTTGGCTTGGCTGGAGGGAATTGGCATCGAGTGGTTATGACAATACGGGGGCTGGCCCCAAATGTGCCGACGCGGCGCCATACCCGCCGCGGGCGTTCAAGGTTGAACACCGCCAGTGGCCCTGAATTTGCCAATGCGAATCGATCCAGCGATACTTTTAAAGCCGCCGATCCTTCAAGGTTGAACGATCCACGCAGTGTCAAAAACCAACGCGGAGGTCGTCACGGCACGAACCTACCGCAGCGCGGTTGCACATACAATGTATAGTGCAATTATGTATACACTGTAGTGTAAAGTTGCATACTATGTAACACTGTACACTTATTTTATAGATATGCTCTCGTGCGCCAAAACGGAAATTGATGCCCTTTTTTGTCCGATGTTTGTGGCGATTTGGGCTCAGGCGCTCTGCCGCTTCAGAATAACGGTTGGGCGTTGAAGTTGACCTTTGGGCCTGCGCCCTCAACGCCACGCCGCGACGGACACGAGGAGAGTATCATCTCTGGCGCCTGCCATGCCAGGGCGTAGGTGTAAGGCAGATGAGGCCGATGCGGAGGATCGCGGAGGAATGGTGAAAGCGAAAGGCAGCGCTCCATACGACCCTTCGGGACGGGAGCCACGCAGCTATGTGAATAGGGCTCCTTTTCTCGCCGAGTTCGGAACCACCCGACGAAGATCGACAGGAGGTCCGCGAGGGACGCGGAACCGCAGAGATCACGTCCGAGGCGAAGCTTATGCTTGTGGCCAGAGAGGCCGAAGGCACGGCCAGGTTCACGGGCGGCCTCGTCATCGCGACCAGCCCGGCCACCAACCAGCGGAGTCGAGTGCGACGTGATATGGTGTTTCGGTCAGACCGCAGAGGATTAGACGCCATTGCTCCATAATGTGAGCTTTATCGTCGCGCACGAGCGCGTCGCCAATGCCACGACCGGCGAATTCTCGCGGACGCTCGTTAACAGAATCCCGGACCCTTCGCGCCCATGCCATTGCATGTGGTCCAGGTGCCGTGGGAGCAAACCGCGAGGCGACGCGGAGTTGTGGCTCAGACCGGGCACTTCCAGACTAAAGTCCAGGCGGTTCAGTCGGAGGAGAAAACAAAAAAAGGAGTCGCAGACGCAGCAGAGCAAGACCATCGAGCTCGCCATGGAAAATGGAGCTCGCGATGCACAAGGATGGGCCAGTGGTCCTGTGCGTCAGCCGGGCGAAGATTTCGCGAGCAACGAGCTGACGAAGCACGAAAGGCAGGGCTCGGGAGAAACTTGAGAACGTGCACCAGGCGCTCGGCGCACAGGACGCTGAGCAGGCCAGATCTCCGGCCGCCGCTGAATAAGGGCATCGCCCTTGCTTTGCGGTGGTGGACAAATTGGAAAGCCACGTTCGCGTCACTGGATAGCTATTCCACGCCATCCTCGAGAGCAGGGGAGGGGGCCCGAGACAAGCTAGGTGCGCTCGCGTCGTATCTGACGTCCTACGCCTCCTTCCAATTCTTTACCATTGCGTAGATCTCCTCTCTATTCGCACAATCGGATGTCGTTGCGTGGCAGAGCATTACATGGCATAGCATGGTGTTTGAATATCAACGCGTAGTATAACATAGCATGGCGTGGGGAAGCACCAAAGTGGGGGGGGGCTTTCTGCGGCCCAAAAAGCTAACGAATCGACTCGTCGATACCGAATGTGGAATTGCTTCCGATGTATGCGTGTTTCGGTGGGCCATTTTATAGTTTGTGGGGCCTACTTGGAAGGACCGCAAACCATGCCGCGGCATGGCGCTGGAAATAATGACGCCAGCGCTGTAGCGGGAGCACGGTTCGGAACGAGCGGAAGCGCGGAAATGAGGCCAGCGTTGCAGCGGGAGCGCGGTGCGGAACGAGCGGAAGCGCGGAAATGCGGCCAACGCTGCAGCGGGAGCACGATTCGGAACGAGCGGAAGCCCAACAATGAGGCCATCGCTTCCGCGGGAACAAAATTTTGAACACAAGCCCAAGCGAAAACCCAGTTCCCTGGAATCCTGTGCAAAAGAAGTGCGCGGAAGGGGGGCCAGAGACTTTCCGGACGTCATCAGGGGAGAGGGGGGAGTAGCATTCATAGGTATTGAGTTGGGGGAACGAGGTGTCCGCGTCAGGCACCGTTCTGGCAGGAGGGCCGGCGATCAGTTACGAGACGTCGTGGGTTTTCAGGTGGTCAAAAACTACTACAAGTCCGACGCGATCGACAGCTCTATCGAGGGTTCCGAGCGTTGAGCATTGCAATTCGATTCCAGAGGGCGTCGACAGCGAGAGCGACCCCGACTAGACCGAGGGGAAGTGCGACGAGTCAGACAGGGGGGAGGGAAGGGGGGGGGGAACGGCGTCAGCCAGTGGAGCTATGGGCATCGAAACCATCGTAACAGCGAGCGAGCCGAGACCCCACGTCGTCGCTCGTGCAAACAAAGGCCCTTGGGATCCTTGCGAGACTTGTGAAGCCAGAGACGGACCATAATTCACGTCGTGAGTGTCTTATTGGGCCACGCCGCAGATTCAGAGTACTTTCCGAGAGCTATCGCGGCAGGGCCCAGAATGCCGGGGGCAGCTGCGGCGGTTGCTGCGGAGACGCCCGCGCCGAGCCGCAAGCCCAAGTCAGGCGGGCGCAGCGACGGCGGCAGTCGCCCGACGGGCAGCGGCGGGCGACCCTCGCCAGCCAGAACGTCGAGAAGCAGCTGGGCGAGACGCGGAATAGATCCCCGCCCAGGGGCCGTCGGCCGTCCGCCCTGGGTCGCGTCCTGGGCGGGGCTTGGCGGCGGCCCGTGCGCATGGGGGGTCTTCGAGCGGTGGCGGGGCGCGCCTGGCGGGCCCCTGGACGGCGGGGGCCCCCCTCTTGTTTTCTGGGCGCCCGCCTTTCCGCCACGGGGGGGGGGGGGCTTAACCGCGGAACGCCCTGGGGAAGTTGGCAAGGGCTTCGAGACCGCGCCTCTCGGCCCTTTCGCGCGCGCGAGCGGCGACCAGTGGTGGCGGTGTTGTAATAGAGTCGGGAAAACGTGAGACTCGAGTATGCCGGATCTCGGGTTTGCCGATTTTTTTTTGACGGGCGCGTCCTGGATTTTGACGTTCCCGTTTTCGCAGGATGTCTGCAGCGGGAGCCCGCGTCAAATATCAGATTGGGTTTCGTCACTTTTATGATGGCCCCCGTCATGCCAACCCGAGTCCCCTGTACTCGAGTCCTACGTTTCCCCGATAGAAGGGGGGCCTGGCGTCCCCCTCCCACCTTCGGGTCTCGTATCTCCTCCCTGGTTTTACTGGTGGCTCACTCCCATCGCAGAGGGGGGGCGTCAAGCACCTATGAGAGGCAGGTGCCCTGCGCACAGGGCCCCTCGCACTGCCAACCATAAAAAATTGTTCGCCACCGTCACCTAATTCATTCATTTCTGCCGCTGCCGCACCGCAGCAAGGGCTCTGCGAAACGCCGCCGTGTGCCAAAACCGAAAGCGCATCCCCTTCGTTGCCCGACGTTTGTGGCCATTTGGGCCCGGGCGCTCGGCCGTTTCAGGGGCACCCACCCACGACCACCCCGGGCATCAAGTTCCTAGGAGAGGCAGGTGCCTGCGCAACCCGGAAGTGCAATTAAGAACTCCCCCCTTCACGGGCGAAAGTATAGCGCTCCAGCACCCTGGAAGCGCTACCCTGGCACCTAGCAGCCAGCTTTGAACGCAGATGAGTCTGCCCGCTGCAACAAGGAAACCGCCTGAAACATTCTCACAATCTGGTCTCCGTGTGGTTCTGAAACAAGAGCCTCGCCTGAGACATCCTCAGCAACTGCTCTGAACGCAGACGAGTCTGCTGTGGGGGAGTCCTACGGGGAGTCTTATGGGGGAGTCGTATAGGAATAGTTAGAAGTCCCACAGATTCCCATTGGGATACCGCCCGGGCCAATGCACGGGAATTATGTATTTTCATGTGTGTTTTTTTTGCGCGGTGCTAAAGATATCGTTCCGCGAAACCCGCCCCTAAAAATTATTTAATTACGGCACGGTGGTAACGATAACCCCGGGGGTTGTTAATTGCTTACTGTGATTACTGTTGTCCCCGCACCGCCACCGATAAAGAGGCACCACTGGTTAGTAGGTGTTTATATATATACACCTTATATCATATATCAGATATCATATATATATATATCAGGTGAATATATGACAAATCCAGGACCTGGGTTGTCCATATCCGCTGTCTCGCAATCAGTGGTGGTTTACTGTACAACGCTAAACGAAGATGAATTAAGCACAAGTTACCATTGGCAGTTCGCCCACATGGACACACACAGACAGTGACACACACACACACAGACACAGACACTGACGCAAACACAAACACAGACACAGACACAGGCACACACACTGGCACAGGCATACACACTGGCACACACAAACACACACACACACACATACACACACGGCTTTGCTCTGGGAGCGGGGCCAGTGATCTCCCATGCAGCACCGATTGCGGGTTGGATACCCCCTCCTTTCCGTGGTGATCACGATTTCGCTATCAGGGTCCTGTCGTCGATGTTTCGCCGATTCCAGAACGATTTCTACATTTTGCCAGACTCCCCCCTCGGGCCTCCCTTCACTGGCATCCCTGCCCTGTGGCAACTCGCGGCTATACATTTCCTGCTTTTATATCGCCAGTGGCCTCTCTGAGGGGTTTGGGGGGCCCTCTTGGGGCGTCTTGGGGGTCTCGTGGGCCGCGCGGGGGCCATCTTAGAAATTCTTGAGGCCGCTCGGGCGTGTTGGCGCCCTTCTTGGGCCGTCTTGCGGGGCGTCTTGGAGCTCACTGGTGGTGGATTTGATGTTCTAGGAGCTCCGGAGGTGCGTTGGTGAGCTCGCCCCCTCCACCCCATAAATCTAGATGTTTGGCCCTGGTGGGGGGGGTACAGGGGGAGGGGGACAGCCAAATGTTTCACAAACCTTTGCACCCCTGGCAAGCGGGTGTCGGCGGATCAAGCGCTTCGAAGATCGAGGAACGTTTTCTTTACACAGGTTGTTTGTAAGGGGTCCGTATATGGCTCGTGGACAGGGCTGAGAGGGGTGCCGTTGCTGGCCCGGGAATCGGTGACCCGATTGTCTCCCGTATGTATGGTCTTCCGTATGGTCTCCCGTATGGTGTCCGGTTGTTCTCTCGTGTGTTGTTCCGTATGGTATCCCGTATGTACAGTACAGAATGATGCTCTTTTGTTTATATTGCTTAGCTCTTTTGTCGCAAGGGTGTACGTCGTGACATTATTTGCCATTCTTGGGCCTCCAGGGGCCTCTGCGGAGCCTCTGGGACGTCCGAGGGGCCGAGGGGTCAGAGTGAGGGGAGGACCCATGCCTCTGGCGACTAGAAACATCACGCCAAGGTTTCTATTTTTTTTTCAGCGCCCGGAGCCCGTTACCAGATTCCGGGGCCCTAAAAAGATACCCGGCGTGAATTTTTTGGCTCGGGGAGAAGGCCCTGGCCGGCGACTCGAGAACCTCGGTTCGACCGAGGTTTGGGAGAGGTTTGGGGTTGCGCACGTATATCCCCGGGAGGTACCCAGGCTGACATCAACAGGTTTCCAGGATAGTCTGGGGCGGGCTCATGAACGCCAAGAGGTGCAGTCCCAATCTGGGCTACTGTCTAAATCAAGGTCAATGATGAGCCTCTAAAACGAACGCACCCTTGCAGCCCTCGCTCGATTCCAGGCGTCCTCTGCATGATTTTTGCGCCCTCTGTCCAAGGGTCCGCGCTCTTGGTGCCTTGCACCGTTGCACCCTTGCCCATCCTTGTGACTGATGCTGACTGTGCCCTGGCCTTGGAGGCCTGTTGAGGCCAGCCTGGGCCGACTCCCGGGGGCTGGCTGCATGCGCTCAGCTCTGAGCCCTGCCCGAGGAGCTCATCTCGTCCCTGCGCGGCCAGGGCGAGGAGGAGCTCACCCGCCGCGGCCTGGAGCCGATGAGCGTGGGCTTCGCCAACCTGGTGTGCGGGGCCGAGTGGCGTGGTCAGCGCGTGGTCGCGAAGTGCTACACGGATCTCGTCTTCCTCAGAGTCGCGCCCGAGGCGATCGGGGTGGCCGACGTTCACGCCGGGGACAGCGGCATCGGACCGAGGGTTCTGCACTCCAGCCAGCGAGGCCTTGTCATGGAGCGCCTCGAGGGCCAGACCCTAGATGAGCCCGACATGCACCGAGGCGACCTGGACCTACTGGCGTCCGTTGCCCGGGCGCTCGCGGCGCTGCACCAGCTGCCGATTCCCGCAGCTTGCGACGGCGAGCCAATGCTTTGGCGCACGATGGACAAGATGATGGGAGTTGTGCAGGAGAAGCCAGAGCTCATCCCAGAGGGGATGCCCAATCTCGAGGCCATCAGAGAAAAGGTCCACGAGGCGAAGAGGTTACTGCAGGGGCACGAGCCTAAAGTGGTTTTCGGTCACAACGACTTCAAGCCCTCCAACGTGATGCTTACAGAGGGCGGCATTAAGATCATCGACTTCGAGCTGTCTGGGCCGAACTACCGCGGTTTCGACCTGATGAAGGTGTTTCGCACCGCTGCTGGCCCGTCGCAGCCGTGCATGAGGCATTTCTTGGCCGTGTACGCCGAGCAGGTCGGCGCAGTCTCCTCTGAGGCCTTCGTGTCCGGCCTGCTGCAGGAGGCGGACCGGTTCGAGCCCCTCACGTGGCTCGAGGCCTGCGTCTTCTTCCTGACCCTGCCGGTGTTCAAGCCCGACAAGGCAGCGAGGTGGAACGCGCTGGCCCTCGACCGTTGGGCCAAGTTCCAGCAGACGCTCGGCAAGCTGCGCGCCGGCTGACGGCCCGGTGGAGAGCCTGAGTGGAGGCGCGAGGAGGGCAGCGACCCGCCGGCCGCCCGCCTTCGGTGCGCCTTCGGCGGACAGCGCGGCGGCGTCGTCGTCGGCGTCGGCGTCGGGCCACAGAACTCGGCTGCTTCGGCGGGCAGCGCGGCGGCGTCGCCGTCGGCGTCGGCGTCGGGCCACGGAATCTTGGCTGGGCGCGCCCCGCGGCACCGCGCTGGTGCCAACTGCCGATTGCGCGGGCGCTGGTGCTGTGGGCTCGCTCCCGCAGCCGCGGGGCTGGACTGGGGGGCGCTGCGATGGCGATGTCTGGAGGGCGACGCCGCCGCATCGGCACGGCGCAGCGCGCGCCGTGCCCAAGGTGTCGCTGACGGCCGAAGCGGCGGCGGCGGCGGCGGCGGCGGCTGCGTGAACGTCGCGTGCCTGTGGTGTCGCTGGCGGCTGGAGCGGCGGCGGCTGCGAGCCGTGCGGCTGCGTGCGGGCAGCTGGGACGAGGTTGTCGACAAAATGAAGGGGCGGGCGATGCTTGGAATTGTCCCCCTCCCTTCCCTTCCTCCCCCCCTGCCTTCCTCCAGTTTTTCCTTCCTTCTCTCCTTCATTTCTCGGCTCCTTCATTCCAGAGGCCACGGCTTTACCCACCTGGTCTTGCGTAGGCCCGGACGGTTGTCCGCAGAGGTGCTTGTTCGTTCTTCTCCCCCTTTCCTTCTTGTACCGCCTCCTACTTCCTCCTTCATCATCTTTTCCTTCCCGTCCTCCGGCATCATCCTTAGTCCATTTTCCAACTGAATGACTCCTCCTTGTCGGACCCCCAGACGCGTCGATAATTAGAGCGGACCAGACGTGTTGCTTGAAGCGTCCTCACCATCTCTGATCTTGAAACTCATGAAGCTTCCAACAATTTCAAGGGTGGGGCTCGTTTTCATACTTGGGCTCTCGCTCTAGCGCCGCGCACATTCGGCCTCGTCCTCCTCCTCCTCATTATCCTTCTCCATTCCTTTTCCTTATAAATAACTTCTCCCTGTCGCACCCCGAGGCCAGTTTTAGGGCGGGCCAGGCGTTTCGCCTGAGAATTCCTCACAACTTATGATTCTGAAGATATTGTATTGGCAACAGCTTCACAGATGGAGGGCGGGTTGTTTTCAAAATGCGGCTCTCGCCGTAGCGCGGGGCACATTCGTTTCACGGGTCGAGGGCGGGGCGTCTTCAAAGTGTGGTTCTCGCCTCAGCGCGGCACATATTCAGTTTTAAACGGTTGCAAGAGTTTCACGCGTTGAGGGCGGGTCGTTTTCAACATGTGGCTCTCGCCTTAGCGCGGCGTACACTCGTTTGAAGCATTCCCAAGAGTTTCATGGATTGAGGGCGGGTGGGTGGTTTTCAAAATGTGGTTCTCGCCCTAGCGCGGCGCACAGTCCTTAGATACATTGCAAGAGTTTCACGTGTTGAGGGTGGCTCCTTTTCAAAATGTGGCTCTTGCCAGAGCTCGGCGCACATTCGTTTAAACATTAAAAGAGTTTCACGGATTCCCACAATCAACGTGTCAGAAATAATGTTTTGACAGGGTTCCGGATGATGCGGGTGCAACAGTAATGTTCACTCGCTGTGTTGAAGTCCCAGGAGTAGAGTTCTGGCACGGTTCAGGATTGTCACGACGCAACAGGCAAGTTGATCCGTGGCGTTGGAATCCCGAGAACAATGTCTTGGCATGCGTCTGGGTCTTCAAACGGTTGTCTTCCTAAGAGGCAGTTTCTTCCATGGAAATGGGTCGTTGCAGAGGCATGTGAGGAGGGAATTCGGAGGGAGGGTTTATTCCAAAATCGTTGATGGCTCCTCGGTTTCCACTGGTCCTCCTCCTCGCCCCCCTCCTATTCCTCCTCCTCCCTGATTGTGGTGACGTTTACCTGGCCGGCCGCTTTAGAGGTCTGCCGCCACAGAGGCTCAGAGTGGTACGAGTTCGTTTCCGCGCGCATTTCGCTGGGTGTTGTTGTAGCCCCCGCAGTTACAAGAACAGATAACAGATGGTTTTCAAGTTAGTGTTTTCGTTTTAGCGCCGCGTACAAACGTCTCAGACGATTCCAACTGGTCGGTCGAATGATAGATGGCGGCCTTGGCATGTTCCGTGGCAGGCCCATGACACGTCCACGGCACGTCCCCTAGCACGTTCCGTGGAGCGTCGCCCAGCGCATCCCCTGGTGCGCTCTTGGCACATCCCGTGGCGCTTCCATGCGCCTTGCGTCCCTTGTCGCATCGTCTCGTTTTCGGAACAGAGCTGGTTGAGCGAACCGAGCGTTTCGACTCCAACCAGCGCTGGGCGAGTCATGCATTCAGGTAGCTTGAGCTGAAGACCTAAATCAGCTCGGTCAGTATACGGACGCCAAGGACGACCCAACGCAGCAGAGTACAGCACAGGTCAGCATCAGATGAAGCAACACAGGACAGCACAGCACTGCCCAGAATGGCGCAGCGCAAGGCAGCACAGCCCTTGGCATGGTATCATCACCCTGGATATCCTCAGCATTGCCATCGCCCACTGTCCAATGTAAGGCAGTTCTATCCCTTTCCGGATTCGTGGACCAATCATGTTTCTTCGTTTAGAACAGCACATTAGTCGGTCGACGCTAAGTCTGGTTGGAGCAGGTTTGGTTGGTCTCTCGAGGCTGGGCTAGATCATGAGGGAGTCATCAGGAACCCCTTGATGCAAGAATTATCTGGGTAACAGGTGAAGCCATGTCTTGAACCGACCTAACGACAAACGCTTGAGAGCCTGCATGCATGTTTGTACCAGTGCTTGGCTAACGCAGAACTCGCACCTGACGCGCACGTGATGTACGACAGCCTAGGAACACAAGACGAGACACATCCCGTTTCTTCTTTGCAAGGCACCGTAGCAATTCGCTGAGAGTAGATAGAGTTGCGGACGAGCAACATGACACACATCAACATATTTTGGCAAGGGAACGCCTACTAGTGTTTGTCACTCTTATTTCCATCCACCCCTTATCCTGAGCGTGCAGGGGGGGAAGAGGGGAGCGGAGGGGAAGTCAGGGGCAGGGCGCACGAGTCAGCGAGCTGCCGAGCAAAACCCGTCAGGCCTACATGCTCCTCTCGACCCTGCCTGGCGTCCCGACGCGGCATCGAGGCGGGCCCGCCTTTCGAGTCATGTTTCCCGCCGCCGCACCTGAGAACTCCCATGCGTCCGCCACACCTCTCCACCCCGTCCCAGCTCACACCCCCTCAGAACCCTGTCGGGGATCTTGAGCCAGCCACCATGGGGAGTCTTGGAGGCATTGGGGGTCATCATGGCGGCCTTGGTGGCCTGCCTTGGCGCGATCTTGGGTATCTTGACGCCTTGGGGAGCGCGAAAGATACGTCGGAGCGCCCACGAGTCCTCGTGAGGGGGAGTGCTGCACGTGAGGGAGTCCGGTGCGTGGTGTGGGTGGGGGCACCTTAGAAGTTTTGCAAGCACCCCTGTGATAGAATCCGCAAGTGGGTGGCGGATGTATACGGGCACAGTGGTCTGTTGGCCTATCCCGTTATGGTGTATGGGTCGTGTGCAAGACGCCTTTTCGAAGCCTCCTTCGGGCTCTTTGGGAGGCCTCTCGGGGGGCTCTTGTGGGCTCTTGGGAGGTCTTTTTGGAGGCCTATTAGGAGCATCTCGGGCTGGGGCCACCCACCGCGCCGCGCGATCGCGGCGGCGCGCAGCCGCTGACATGTCATAGGGATCGCAGGGACAGCGGGATTACCTGTCGGTGCTGGGGGCGAGGACACGGCAAGGCGCCTGTCGGGCACCTGGCTGGAGCCAAAAAGCTAGGAGAAACTTGCAGGTGGAAGAGGAGGCCGAGGATGAGCTGGATGTGGAGGTGGTGGAGGAATGTGGAGGAGGAGGAGGAGGAGGAGGAGGAGGAAGAGGAGGAGGAGGAGGACGATGAAGTGGAGGTGAAGGGGGAGGTGGATGTGGAGGAGGTCAGTGAAGGAGGAGGAGGACGCCGTCGCCCTACGACGCCGCCGTTCGGGCGATAGCCCCCCTGCCGCCCGCCGCGGTGCCGGGCCCCATGCCGCCAAGGCCGCCGCGCCCGGGCGCCCGCGCCCCCCATGCGCGGCCCGCCGCACGCCGCTCCGCGTGAGGCGGGGGCGCAGGCGCCGTCATCCCCCCCCCCTGGCGGGAGGGGGGCCACGGCCGGGACGACGAGAGGCGGTGAGGGCGAGGACCACGGCCAGGACGACGACGGCGCGGGCGACGGCCACGACGCAGTACGCCGGATCGAATATGACGTACAGACTGACGACAATGAACAGGCCCAGGATTCAATAGGAATGCTCCAGAGTTCGTCCCCGGTCTCCTGCAGCGTCGGACGGAAGCCAGCATAGCGCCAGACATCATCTACAGAGTTGGGGTCGTTCCCCTCATGAGAGAAGGGCCTGCAGCGATGCGAAAAAGGCGGGGAGGCGAGTTGGGCGGGCAGTGGTGGGAGAAGGGCGGGCAGTGGTGCGAGGAGGGTGGGAAATGGTGCAAGAAGGGACGGCAGTGGTGCGTGAAGGGCCGGCATTTGTGAATTTGCCGTCCACGCATGAGGGAACAACAAGCACTGATAGTTAGCCGTTCTACGTCTCAAAATGACGCGACGCCCATCGGAAATGTGTGATTGTGGTGCGTCTAGTGCCCCAGCGAACAGAGCCCCAGCAATCATACAGTAGCAGGGGTTCAACGCATCGTGGTGTTCATGTCGTTTAGCATGTGATACATAGGAACATCCAGTGTAATGAAGGGATGCTTGTTTTCAGATTTTTGGCTTCCCGATGGCGTCCTCAAGGCGTCCTCGTGGCGCCTATCGCGGGCCTCCACAGGTGAGGTGCCCAATTGAGGTCAGCGTCGATTGTCTGGTGGCGGCGTTCGCACTTCCACGGGTTGACAACACGTCACGCGCACTCAAAGTCGGCATGGCGCTCTCACTCGGGCAGTCACGTGCGCTCGGTGTCCGCCTCATCCGTTCCGTATGATCTTCTTCCTCCCTCGTCCCCCGTCCCTTTTCCTTCCGCAATCCTCGAGCTCCGCCTCCAGTCCGCCTCCACCCCCGCACTCCACCGCTCGCAGTCGTCGTCGTGCCCCCATGTCTCCCCCGACCCCTCATGTCGCGAAGCGAAACAGCAACGGATTTTTTCTCGGGGGGGAGGGGGGGAGGGGGGAATCTTCACCCCGCGGTGGCCCCTCATTGGGCCCTGGGGCTGAACGACTCTGGGTTGGAGGGGATTGACACATGCCAGCAACATCGCGACGTCGTGGGCCTGGCCTCCCACGAGCGCCCGCTGCCGACGCAGGTCGGCCAGCCGCTGCACTGCCAGCGGCATGCGCCGCGGCACGCTGCCAGGGAGGCCGATCGCCTACGACCCCCAGCTCGTGTCCGAGGAGGGTATCCGTGAAGGAAAAGGCTCCTGAGGGGAACGGGTCTTGAGTTCTTTCGCCGGCTCCGGCTTCCCGGGGCCCTCCAAGGGCACCAAAGACCGCACAAAACACGACTCGGGGTGAAAAGTTGGCCCGGGGGACAGTTCCTGGGATCAGGACCGGCTTCCCTCAGGAACCGCGATGTTCGTGCCAAGAAGGGCGATTGTCTTTCACCCCCTCTCCCAGATGGCCAACCTCAGGGGCAGAGCGCAGGAGCTCGATCGAACCGCACGTGGTGCTTTACGTGCTCGCTTGGCCTCACGGAATCTCTCACGAGCAGGATTGGTTTCGGCTGGCTTCACGTCGCCTCCGTTTGAAGACCCTATAAGCTTACGCCACATCCGCCGACCCCTCGTTTTTGTATAGCCTTTATCGCCGGCTGTGGTGGACGCCCTCACGGCGGCGGTCTGTGGTTTCATGAGTAGGGTGTTTTGGACTAGTCGTGGTTTCGGGGTCGTGTTCGAGAGTCACGAAACTTGATGATCCCCGTAGCCCCTGCAGATGCGGATAGGAGTGAGGGGCTGCTTCGAGAAGGAGTTCCCACGGCAGGGGCACCCCAGTGGCGCGCAGGAGACGAAACACTTGACGAGGGGAGTGAAAGTAGTGTGCGCAGATTGCAAAGACCTTGGTTTCACGGCGCGCAGTTGGCAGGAGTATCAGTGCAGCGGCACGTGCAAGAGGAAATTACCGATGTCGGCGTTCTCCGTGAGACCTGACAGATGTCGCGCGCGACGAAAGAAGGGCACCCTGAAATGCAAAACGTGCAGATGATGCGCTTTCGAGCGCCCGTCAATCATGCGGTTCGTCGAAGTAGAGCCAGAAGGGGAGAGCGAGAGGGGGGCAAAGCTGATGAGGAGGAGAAAGCTGAAAGAAAGGAAGCGCAGAAGTAGGAGGAGGACAAGGAAGAGGAGGATGAGGGGTAGGAGGGGTAGAGGGAGGCAGGGGATAATGCGGAGGAGGATGAAGAAGACAGGAGGGGTACGAAGAGTGAGGATCCAGGCTTGGGGCCCAAACTGGGGCCTCAGGGGGGCCGTAGGCGGCTATGCCAGACCCCCGGGGCGCATGTGTGCACCCTGGATCTGGAGACCTTGCGCGGGCTTCCTGACCGCGAAATCTTTCATGCTCTTCGGTCCATCCTGACCTGGTTGTGCGTCAAAGTCTCCGGAATGTTTCCCGGGGTTTCTTCGAAACGCTATCGGGGGACGAAAGGGGGGGCAGTGTCAGAGTCCAGACGGGAGTTTTTGGGATCTTTGTATTTGCCGCGGCTGACATTCGCAGCGTTTGCCGTGGGAGTATGATTATCGAATGGCCTTCGGTCCATCCGGCCACCGTGTCTAGCTTGTGGGTGTGAGGCCAGTGGGATAGTCGTGTTCGCCGTGGGCGCACGATCATCGAATGGCCTTCGGTCCATCCCGCCTCCGTGCTTGCGTTGTGGGTCAGAGACCAATGGGACAGTTGATGGGGTCTCGTCGGGGATTTTTCGGGGGGGCTTGGAGGCATCCCGCCACGGTGCTTGGGTTGTTGGACTGAGGCCGATCGGATGCTTGATGGGTCTCCTGAGAGGCCTCTTGGGGGCGTCCTGGGGGCAGTTGTTGGACCTCTTGGGGGCGTCATGGAGTCCTCGTGTTTTTTTTGGGGGGGGCCTTCTCGGAGTTCCCTTGGGTTTTTGGGGGCAGCCTGGGGGCGTCTTGGAGCCGAAGGCTCGAAATGTCCGCTCGGGTTCCCCATCTGGGCCTTGCTTATGGCCCTCCTGGGGCCCTCCTGGGCCGTCTTGGGAGTTTCTTCGGTCGTCATCGGGTCCTTTTGGGCCGTCTTCGGGCACTGTTGGGGGCCGCCTGGGCCGTTTTGGAGCGATCTTGGAGGCCTGTTGGGCCATCGTGGTCGTTGTGAAAACCCAAGAGGCGAATGTGCTAAAGTCATACGTTTTGCAAAAGAAATGGGGAGATGTTTGTTTTTTGTGGCCCTATTGGTGAACTGGGTCATCACGTATGGCCGACCCGTCGAGGGCATTCACGTACACATACCATTACCTTATCATGATGCCCCATCGGGGGCGTGTAGGCGTTCACGACGTTCGCCTGCATGAGACGTCTCTTGGACATCCCTGTACCGCCGTTCTCGGCTACTGACCGACGCCCGCGGGATGGGTGGTTATCCCTGGCCCGGTTCGCTACTGTGCCACTTTCAAGTCTTCATCCTGGCTGTCGGATGGTGCTCGTGCCATGGGATCGTGCCGACGCCCGCGGGATGAGTGGGTATCCCTTCCTTGGTTGGCGCCTTCAGCGTGGAGTCAGAGGCCTAGACACGCATTCCTACTTTGTCTGCACCCCGGGGCGTTGCGTCCTCTATGAATCGTTGGTCGTTGAGTTCTCACCTGTCCCACGGTCGACTTTTTTATGTTCCTTTGCTTTTGCGGAGTTCTTCTCCTGCATGTCCATCGGCGGCTACATGGCCGCCGGGTGTTTGTCTTTGGCCACCAGTGCCTGGCTACACCTGACAAGGAATTCACACCAATTTTGGCGTGAACTACATCAACAGGATGTTCAATTGTATCGAGACCGGTTTCTTTTCGGTCTTCTTCGAACGTATGTGGATCCTAGGCCAGAGTCTGCCTGTTTCATATTCAAAGTAGCTGGGGGCCCTCTTGGGGGGCCTCTTGGAGGTTTTCGGGGGCGTCGTGGCGGCATCTAGGGTCGTCTGGATGCCATCTTGGGCGTGTTGGCTCGATCTTTCGGCGACTCGGGGCCCTCTTGGACCGTCTTGGGGGCCCCTTGGGGCCTTTTGGCCCGTTGTGAGGCCCTCCGTTCCCCCCTGGCGCGTTCAACCGGGGGTCGTCCCAGGCCTGGGTGGGGGGGTCATATTCGCGGTTTGGGGTCCCTGGGAGGGGATGATCTGGGGGTGGGCAGCCTCACGCGTTTAGAGACCCACACGGGGTCGGCGGAGTTCAGGATGGGTGCTGCGGCATCCCTGGCACCCCCCACGAGGACCCTTCAGAGCTCAGCATGCGTAGGTCCAGGGAGCTGAAAGAGAAAGTCGTCACCACATGGTCCAGGGTCTCTTTTCTTTCCTATGTGGCCGCCCCATCTCCAACGTCGCGTCTTCACGCTGTCGGGCGAATCTGGGCAAGTGGCGTGCCGAGCCATTTCACTACGACGGGGCTTCCAGGACACGCACGTGCTCTGGGAGACGTACGCCTTTTCAGCTGTTCCTCGCCCTTGGGCAACCGGGGCAGAACGGCACAGTTCGCCTGGCCGTCGCGTCAGGGTCAGCCAGCACACCTCAAGCGCAGACATGTCTGCACCAGGCAAGCTACCGTGGAAAAAGAGAAAGTGTGGGTAAGCGAAGCCGTATCGTTGGCCTTCACGTCAGAGTTCGTTTGCGTCTTCGATGGCAAAGCTTCCTTGCGCGCGCGCGCCTGAGGAGTGCGTCTCCCTCGAGGAGCTGAGCGCCCTCCTGGCCATCGAGGCCGAGCCTCCTGGGTGCGCAGCTGGCGCCAGGACTGCCGGCGACTGCGGCGGCTGGGAGGTCTTGGACGAGCGCGGCAGCATAAGGGTCGAGCGATGGCTCCCTTGGGGGCGCCCAACAGGGGGATTGAGGATTAGGTGTGTGTGTGTGTAGATATCAGCGCACGAGGTCACCAGCGGCGGCACTGCAGGGGTGCCCGCGGTTCGGTCGTTTCGGCCGCAACGCAGCGGGCTGCGTTCGGTTGGTTCGGTTCGGCCGACCGTCGCGACGTAACTGCTTCGCCGCACCCTTCCAGGTTGCCTGCGGTCTGTCGGTTTCGGTCGGCTTGGGTCGGTTTCGGTCTCGTGGTCGGCTCGGTCGGTTTTCGGTGGTGTTGCTGCCGCGGAGGGCCGGTGGGCACGTCCGCGGACAGCAGATTTCCGCCGACGCCCCCCTCCGAGGCCCGCCCCCGGGGCGTGTGCTGGCACCGCGGCGCGGCCGCCTGAGGCGACGCGTGAGGCGGGCGTTGGAGCCACGTCGCCCAAGAGGGCGCGCCGCCCCCGCAGGACACTTGCGCTCCCTCGGGGGGCGCGCCGTCCCCCCCTGCAAGGCTTTTGCGGGGGCGCCGCGGACCTGCGAAGGCGTGTGCCCGCGTGCTCGCTTCTGGCCTCCCAGGCTCCCGAGCTCCTCCGAGAGCGACGAGCTCCTCATCATGCGGGGCACGCTCTCTCTCAGGGACGTGCCCGTGGCGGTGGCGGTGGACCAGCTGCACTCCCTGTCGGCCAGGAGGAGATCGGCGGCGCGCAGGGCCCGGGTCTGGAAATTGTGCATGTCCCTCGTCTGGGTCTCCCAGGCCGTGGATGTGCACAAGTTCCGGCCTCGTGCAGGGGAAGGAGGAGGGGGACTTGGGAGGCTTCTCGTTCTCTTGTTCGTGGGCGTCCCTCGTCGTCGCGGCGGCGCGCCACCGCCCAGGGTGGGCCCCAGGGATGGTCTGGGGGCCAGCCACGGGCGGATGCTTGCCTGGGGCAGGGAGGGAGCCTGCCTTGTGAGAAGGGGCTCCTCATCAGGCCTCCTGAAGGAAGGCAGACTCGACCCCGCCCAGGAACGTTATTTGACAGGGGATGTGGCGGGCCTCCACGAAGCCGACGACTCGGGACAAACTGGTGGCGTTGCAGGTTTGGGCTTTGCCGTCTCAGAATCGAGCCCTGGACCTGTCGTGGGGCGCGCTCTGGCCAGAATTTCGAGGCGGGTGCTGCCGTGGCGGCAACAAAGGCAAACAAGTGCCCAACAACCTGGATCCTCGATCCCTCCCTTGCCCTGCCTCCTTCGGCACACCTCCGATGCAGTGTGTTCCTTCAGTGTGTGGGCCCTGGAGTTCGAACCCTTCCCGGGCATGGCCTTTTCATCCTGGAGTGTCCTCTGACGGTGCCAGGGCCTGGAGGGGCCCACGAGACAGTAGGAGCCAAGTCTCCGCCCACGATTCTTGGCAAGACGTCGGAGGTCTGGGCCCTGCGCGCCGCCACTTCGAGGCAGTGGGACGACCACGTCTCCCAGCTGCGGAGGGCCGGAGGAGAGGCCGGGGCGCGGCGCGTGTGCGCGCGGGACGGCCTGGAGAGCGAAATCATCGAAACGGAGACCCGCCCGCTGTTCGGGGTGCTCCCCGCCCTCAAGCTCACCCAGTGGCGCGCCCCCGCCCGAAGAGGAGGATGAGGAGGAGAAAGAGGACGGAGGGAGGGAGGAGTGGTACGAATTGCTCCCGCCCCGTGCCCTGACCCGTCAGAGGCCCCCAGGAGGGCCCAGGAGTAGTAGTAGTAGTAGTAGTAGTAGTAGTAGTAGTAGTAGTAGTAGTAGTAGTAGTAGTAGCAGTAGTTGTAGTAGTAGTAGTAGTAGTAGTAGTAGTAGTAGTAGTAGTAGTAGTAGTAGTAGTAGTAGTAGTAGTAGTGGTAGTAGTAGTAGTAGTAGTAGTAGTAGTAGTAGTAGTAGTAGTAGTAGTAGTAGTAGTAGTAGTAGTAGTAGTAGTAGTAGTAGTAGTAGTAGTAGTAGTAGTAGTAGTAGTAGTAGTAGTAGTAGTAGTCAGTAGTAGTAGTAGTAGTAGTAGTAGTAGTAGTAGTAGTAGTAGTAGTAGTAGTAGTAGTAGTAGTAGTAGTAGTAGTAGTAGTAGTAGTAGTAGTAGT